TGAAAATTGTAATGAATTCCAAATTGAAACAGATCATCTTTTCGTTGACTTCTGATCAGCCTATGACTCCATAGATAGAGATAGTCTTTTTCTGGCAATGGAAGAGATGCACATTCCACGGAAGTTGATCGCCTTAGTCAGAGCCACTATGAGATTCAGAATATGTTGTCCAGCCCTATAATAACTAGAAATGGAGTTTGACAAAGGGATTCCCTAGCCTGCCTTTTGTTCAATATAGCATTAGAGAAGGTAGTTAGAGATGCAGGCATCAACACAAGGGGAACTATATTCTACAAGTCAGTTCAAATTTTGGCATTTGCAGATGATATTGATATAATTGGTAGAACACAAAAATCTATGAAAGAAGCTTTTCTTAATTTGGAAAGAGCAGCAAAAAAGATGAATCTACAAATTAACCAAAATAAAACAAAGTACATGCCGGTAACCAAGAAAGACTGTGCTAATGGACCTACATATATTGAAATTGGCTCATATAAATTTGAGGTTGTATGTAGTTTCACTTACCTTGGATCAGAAGTTAACTGTAAAAATGATATCAGTGATGAAATAAAAAAGCGTGTACTTGCAGCAAATAAATGTCTCCATGGCTTTAGGAAACACCTGAAATCCCAATTAATACCCAGGAAAACCAAAACTATGATGTATAAAGTACTTATAAGATCAGTGCTATCTTATGCCTCTGAGACCTGGCCACTGTCAAGATCGGATGAAAGACTGTTAAATATATTTGAAAGGAGGATCTTGAGATATCTTTGGACCAGTGGAAGAAAATGGAATATGTAGGAAGAGGTATAACCATGAGCTATACAAACTATTTAATGAACCAGACATTGTTGGATTTGTAAAGGTGAAAAGGCTTGAATGGGCTGGACACATAATATGTGCCGGCGAGAATAGAACCATCAAGAAAATGCTTGACACCAAACCAGAAGGAAATAGGAGAGTGGGAAGACCAAGGTTAAGATGAGAAGAATGTGTGTGGCAGGACATAAGAAATTGGGTATAAAGAACTGGAGGAATGTAGCATCGAATAGAGAAGAATGGCGAGCAATCCTGAGGAAGGCCAGGGCTCACAAAGGGCTGTCGTGCCAGTGATGATGATGATGATGATGATGATGATGATGATGACTTCTACCATTGATGCCTATTGTAGTTACACATCATATGAGTTGGCTACAGGTTCGAAGTACTCTATAATTAGATTTAGTAACTGCTATATCATACTATATTAACATAAACTGTATATATGTCATGCATCCAAATCAGATGCAAGATCATTGCTTGATAAATATCTGGGATAGTCTGTGGTCTTTCAGAATACATTTTCTGTATAGTATTGTCCAATTTTTTTGTGTGAAGTATTGTATGCAGTTTTATGTACATATAATTAAGGAATAAGATTACCTGAAAAAATTATTTGGTATGCAGCCAGAGATGGAGAGTACAATACTGCGTCTCTTCAGCTGGGCAGAGAAGTCAATCCAACCACTGCAGAGCTATGCTACAGGACTCTTGGCTGCTGCAATGGAGGTTCAAGATATAGCCGCTAATTTTAGGTAATGTAGTGAGGCCATTCAGGGTGTGATACACCAGTATTTTATATTTTTTGGAAGTTGTACTCTATTATGTAATGAAGGAAGGCCATGAACACCACACTATATTGTGGAAATGAAGCAGTTGTGATGCGCTGGTACCAGTACCAGTGATCCCAGACAAATAAATTTGCCAAGCCACAGAAAGAATAATACCTGTATTTTTGTCAGACTTGATATTTTTGTTTTGTTTATTTTATGAAGTGATAGTGTGTAGAGAAGGAATACTAACAACAATGCTTTGAATTGTGCTTTCAGTCAAGTAGTATTTATGATGTACCTTCAGTCAGTAAATGAAGGATTCTGAAATAAAGACTGTAGGCTTAGAAAATAGAAGCACCCAAAAAGATGCAGCTGTTACTGAGCCCTGCAGTCATTGTTGGGTTTTATATATCATTTATCTTAAATTAGCAACAACATAATGAAACACTAGACTGAATTTGTGAGCCATGATATGCATTTTATAAACATTATACAGGATGGGGCGCAGAAACTTCCTTTTTTTGAAGGCGAATAAAAGAAAAATTATTGCTGATAGACAAAATTTATGTTTAGCTAATGAAAGAACATACTTTAAAGTTTTAGATCATGTAGTTTTAAACAAAATATCTTGAGGGTGGTGGCCACTGTTCTCTATGCACTGATGCAACTTCTTTTCTGGAGTTCCCCTCTGCTCGTTCCAACATGTGCACCGGAATTTGGGCTACTTTCTGTCGAATAACATTCTTCAGCTGAAGCAGGTTTGTGGGGCGATGTTTAAAAACCTCTGCCTTGAGGTATCCCCATAAAAAAAATCACAGGGCATTAGATCAGGTGAGTGCGCTGCCCACGGGATGTCACCTCAAAGCGAGATGAGCCATCTGGGGAACTTTGCCCTCAAAACTGTCATCGAAGCTCGGGCTGTGTGGGCCGTGGCACCATCCTGTTGGAACCAGACATTTCCTAGATGCATTTCTTCCAGAGCTGGTTTGAAAAAGTTTTTAATCATGTCCACATACCGCTGTGAATTGACAGTAACTGCATAATTGTCTTCTTCAAAAAAATAAGGGCCAATAACTCCAACTCTTGACAGCACACACCATACTGTCACCTTATCACTGTAAAGTGGCCTCTCATGGAGCTCTCCGGGATTGTTACCACTCCAATAGGGCATATTCTGCTTGTTGACATATCCGGATAGGTGAAAATGTGCCTCATCACTAAAGAAAACAAATGTGTCAAGGGGTAAAGTTTCCAGTAACGTTTCGAACACCCTTGCAATTCTTGCACAACAACCATCTTATAGGATGGAAATGAAGATGTTCATGTAGAATTTGGTGCATTGAACGATTGGATATGTCTAGGGTGACTGCACGTTTGCAAGCGGAGCGTCTTGGAGATCTCAAAATCGACTGTCGAACTGCCTCCACATTTTCTGGCTTCGTAACGGTCCGTTGTCGTCCTGATGATTTTTTCACCACACTCCCGGTTGTCCTAAAGTTCTCTACCCACAATAAAATCGATTTCCAGTTGGAAACCGGACCTCTGGGCTTAATTCCGAAGTGAGTACGGAATGCATGCTGCACCGCCACGTAGGAATGGTTGTTCGAAAAATAGGCTTCGACAGCAAACGCACTCTGCTCACTCATCCACCTCATGTTTCCTGCTGAGGGGTATTAGACAGAAACTTCCGCGACTGCTGCGTTTGCCGAGCCTATCCCCACTTTTCTGCGACCTCCCCTCCCTTCACAATGCGTCTTCACAAAAAGGAAGTTTCTGCGCCCCACCCTCTATTTCTTTGGATATCAAGTTTTAGTAAAATTTAAATTCTCATAGTGGGGCGTGTAGTTCAACTGCGTCCACTGATTGGCCTATTGTAGCCTGCCCTAGGTGATTATGATGATGGAGAATTTGGTGGAATGAAGATAGGCAGGGGAAACCTAAGTACTTGGAGAAAACCCACCCCAGTGCCACTTTGTCCACCACAAATTCCACTTGACCAGTCCCGGGATCGAACCCAGGCCAGCACGGTGGGAAGCCAGCGACTAACCGCTTGAGCTATGGCACAGCCAAAGTTTTAGTATTGCACTGGTGAAAAATAATTAGTAGGTACTTACATGTGTGTGTATGTTTGAGTGTATAGGGTGCTTCTTCTTAGATCTGACCCTTAAAATTTGTTTACCTTCTTTGTTAGTGTACACAAGTTCATGAAACATTCACAGAATGTTCTACACATTTAAGAAATTCATTGGAAAGTTATTGAGTAGCTGCACAATTGGTGGCTTCTCAAGAATGGTTCAGCTCCATGAGAGTGAATGTTGCTGGTATGAGGTCGGGCACTATCATGTTGAAACCAGGCTGAATTCATTGGAATGCCATATCCCATCAGGAAAGAGACTAATTACTCTCTCTCTAGACTGTAATAATAATTAGAAGTGACTGTACCATTGATGGACAGAGAACCAAATGTTCTGACACTCAGTAATGCACACCATACTGGAACTGAAGTGCCATGTGATAAAAAGGGTACCATGTGTGGATTTATTGAAGTAAACTGTGTATTGTTGATCTATGCCTTCATATGTATGTCTTCATCTTATACTAATGCTCACTCTTTTTACAACAGAAAATTAACTGGAATGATGACTGTCAAAGAAATCAATATAAAAAATATAATATAGTGGAACTTATATTTAATGTTAAATTTCAAAGATCCAAAGTCACTAATCTGAGTATTATGTAACTTCCATTCAAAATTTCCCACAGTTTGTGCTTCAGATTCACTAATCCCAGGAAAATATTGAATGTAGGCTTCTTACTGTACAGTATTGTATTTAAGTATGCTGTTACATTAATGTACTCTTCATTCATACACTATACTTCTGTCCACAGTGAAACCCGTTTAATATCTCTCTCTCCTTCTGACTGTATGTTTCAGCAGTATACAGCCATTGTCAAGTGGCTCTGTTGCTAAAATTGTTTCATTATGTAGGACTGTATTTTGTATGTGGTGGAACCCCCATTTAACCTTTAAGTGCCGAAATGCCCCGTTTGTGCCATTCATGAGTAAGGTCGTCATGGCCAAAGTGCCCTGTTTGTGCCAGTCAGGCATTTAAACTCGGCTAGTGGAAGCGCGCGCACACACCACTAGTGGAAGCTATGAGTTATGCCAAAACTTATCCATGATGCAGTAATTTTATTGCAGATTCTGCAGATAGGTATGTTAAAAATATATTGTAAAATTCGATGTACATACCTTTCTTGTTGTTACCTGCTTGATGTATATATAGGCTTAAATTATACTGCAGTATTACATTTCACTACGAACGCACAGAAAACAGATCACACTTTTTATCTTAGCCACGATGCAGCTGTCTGCTCATTCAAATAGAAGGGGCAATAAACTTTTGCAGCTCTAACTAAAGGTCTTAGCACTGAAGAAGGGACCCTCTAGCTTTCTCTTGAATAGCCATGATTTCATTCTTCTGTCCTTCAGTCAAAAGATTCGAAAATCCGAAGAGTGTAAGCAGTGCTCGCAGAAGACCAAATGATTTTATTGCTTCCATCTGTTTTATGACACCAGAGACTGCTAAAATTCGTCAAGTGTTACAAACAGAAATGAATTTATAATGCAGAACAACTCTGTGAAGAACTGGGAATAATTTTTGCAGTGCACATAAAAATTTAAACAAAAAATTGAAAATAGAGTATAACACTTTGTATTAAAACTTCAAATCTTACGTTATAATATGCGACACTATGTTCTTTGCTGATATAAAAAAAGTTAATACCATCCATTTATCATAAAAATTGAGCAAGATACAGCATTTTTAAACACAATGCTTAAAAGTGATTATGCGCCTAATAGGAACGGACATTTAAACGCAGAGTAGCAACAGGCATTTAAACGCGCACCAGCAGCGGGCATTTAAATAAACTCCGGCCAGCTCAAGCTTACCACTATTTCGAAGTTCAGCGTTTAAAGGTTAATATCACTCCCTATGATTTCATTCAATTTTTTAATTTTGTTGTTTCAAAACCAATAATCTAAGTGTGAAATCTCCTGCATTTAAGATTTTCCTTAGTTCAGTGTTGAAATTCACTGCTCAGCACAGATTCCAAATGGAAGATTCACCATATCACATGTAAGTGACAGTGATATAGTAATGTCCAAAAACTCAATACTGATATTGAAATTTCCTAAAAGCTAATTGTCATCTCAAAATACATGTTTGTCTAATTCAGGAATGTGTGGTAATAAAATGCAATATTCATTGAAAGATGAAGACATTTCATAGAGAACAGGGTGTGACACAACAAATTTACAAGTATCAACTCTCTTGAATGACAGCTGTTATTAAAGTTTGAGAGATGCAGATTCTTATGTATATATTTAACGAGATGGAGGACTTGGAGTACAAGGTGGTTCAAATATGACTGGGACTGATTTTTTTTAAAAACCATAATTGCCAAACACTTACTTGCACATGTCAGTCTTCAACATACTCCCCTCTGGAGTCAACACATTTTTTCCAACATTCTGGAAGCATCCTGATGCCCTTTTCAAAAAAGGCTTGTGGTTGGTGGTGTATCCACTCCCGAACAGTGTGGATGATGGCGTCGTCGTCCACAAACCGCATGCCTTGCAAATCTGATTTGAGCCTTCTGAACAGGTAGAAATCACTTGGGGCCAAATCAGGACTGTACGGCGGATGTGTCAGAAGGTTCCATTTCAATTTCTGGAGGGTTTCCATTGTTTTGGCCATATGGGGGCGTGCATTGTCTCAAAGGAAGGCTACCTGCTTTCCACCTGTCTTCCCCTTGGATCGGAACTTTTCCTTCACGTCTGTTGCCAGGAGGTCTGAGTAATAAGCTGCATTGACTGTTCTGGCATCTGTCAGAAAGTCTACATGGATAACCCCTTGCCAGTGCCAGAAGAACGTTGCTATCACTTTTCCTGCCGAACGGCTCATGCGCGCTGTCTTGGGTTTGGGAGAACTGGTATGCCGCCACTCGCGTGTTGACTGCTGGGACTCAGGAATGAAGCAGTGAAGATGTTTCATCAGTGGTCACTATAGACTTCAGAAATGCGTCACCTTCATCTTCAAACTGCTGTAGGAGATGACTGACAGCTTGCATGCGCACCATTTTGTTCACATCTGTCAAAGTGCGTGGTATCCACCATGCATTCACCTTGCGATAGTGCAGGTGGTATTTCACGATGTCGTCTACACTACCAACACTGATCGACAGCATTGCTCCAAGTACCTTGATAGTGATGCGCCTATTCTCATGAATAAGCGTGTCTGCACAATCAATGTTTGGCTCGGTGACGGATGTTTGCGGCCAATGATCATGCGGTTCATTCTCCACGTGCTCTCTGCCCTCTCTGAAGCACTTACACCACTCAAACACACGGGTCTGTGAGAGACACTCTTCCCCATACTGTTGTTGGAGTCTGTGGTGAATTTCAGCGGACGGGACGTTTTCTCCAACGAGGAATTTGATCACAGTGGGTTGTTCCACGCTCCGCGATACCTTCTGTTTGCTCGTCACTCTAGCAACTCCCAGACAGGACTGAACAGGTTCTAACCCGAACTGGAGGGAGGGTGGAGGTTGTGGCTTCACTCTCTCAAGGTCGCACAGCTGCTGCGCAGTGCGGCTTGTTTACATACAAATCAGTCCTGGTCATATTTGAACCACCTTGTTTTATAGGCTAAACTGGTACTGAAAAAACAAATTCTTCTGTGGATCCCTTATACTGTATTTCATTCAGAAATCATCAGGTGGTTTGGAAGATGAAATATGCTGACAGCTATGATCTTCCCATAAGGTGTTTTTGATTTGATGCTGGTGCATATAGAATGTCTAAAATTGTATGTAGACAAGGTGTATGTATTTGAAGTTGATATGCATAATACATCTTCAGAAACAGGAGTTCACATGTTACCTCTTGTTGTGTATGGGTGTGAAACTTTTTCTCATCCTCTGAAGGAAGAACAGGGTACTGGGGAGAACATTTAGATCTAAGGAGGATGGAGAAGTTTGCATAATGAAGAACTTCTTAATTTACACATTTCATGAAACTATTAGGATGATCTCGTGAAGGATGTTAAAATCAATAGGGATAAACGGATAGGCATATGACATGCATGGGAGAACTGGAACATGCATGCAGAATTTTATTTAATAAGCATGATGGGAAGAGACCTCTTGAAGATATTTGTCGATGGGTGGGTAATATTAAGAAGGATCTTAGAGAAATGTAATATGGGGATGTGGACTGTATTCGTCTAGCACAGAACAGGGACAAATGGTGGGTTTGTGAACAGAGTAATGAATTTCTGGGTTACGTTCAAGGCAGGGAAATTTTTAATGAACTAATCTTGTTAGCTTCTTAAGGACTGTGCTCCATTGTGTTAGTTGATAGGAAGATGTATGTCAGTGGTTCAGCATTCTTAGCATTGCCAACTTCTCTACTACAGAGAGCAGAATTCACATCTGGTACCCCTCATGCTGCAAGAGCTACATAAGTTGCAAGTAAAAGCAGCGGAGGATCGACACCAAGCTGCTCTGGCAGCCCGTCCATTTGCCCACCTTGGCCACAACAATAGAGAGATTGTTGACATGGAAGGCAAAAATGGCATCACTGTTACCAACCGGACCAAGAAGAGAGTTTCCAGTCATCCGAAAGAAAATGGTAATGGGAGATTGTTATGTATTAATTTTGGTTTCTTGGTTGTGGGGGCAGGGTGGGGGGGGGGGATTATGGAAGGTAAAGGAGTTGCAGTGTTCTGTCTGTATCCATACTCACGCAATGTAATTATCAAATTATGCAGCAGATCATCATTACTGTCACACAGTGTTTCTGTGTGTAGTCATAATTTAACTTTTTAAGGGGGCTCATCATCACACATGCGTCATGTCGTAAGCTAACCCTGTTGCTATTCATATCTTGTAATAAATGATTGCATCATAAATTAATTTGCTTATTAGGAGCAATGCACCACAGATCATTATGAAATTAGGATAGATGTAAAATTAAATTAATAATGGAGGTGAAGATGAAAGAAAACGTTGTTGTACAACTCATCCAAAGATAGAAGTGTCTCTAATGTCTTCATGTTCTTATTTTCCCTGCCTCTCTGCATGCCCTGTACCAAGTAGATCAGTCCAGGGTGCTTGTGTTATAATGGCCACAGCTGAAGTACTCAGCTTCTTATTAATCAATTAGTGTAGCATTTCTGCCAATAGGTGGCAACAAGTGTGACATACCAAAATATATGTAGGAAAGAAGGGGACCGTGAAATGATACATACCTGCAGCTATTTGAAGGTCGTTTGAGGAAAGTATTGTCAGATTTTCTGACAACTACAGTTACCCTCAAGCAGGCTTGACATTTTTAGCTACTTGTTATGTGACAGGATATAACATTCAAAGGGTTAAGGCACTGAAAATAATTCTAATTCCTATTCCTTTTGTTTGATGTCAAGAAATATTTGTTAGGTGTACATTATTAACGAAGAATTGAGAACTGTTAAGAGGTAAAGCATTGTAGGTTGTAAACAGTGAATATATTTCCAGTCTTTAACCTTTTCTGGAATAGAAGGTTTCAGTCCAGATAACATAGGGTATGTTTTCTTTAATTTTTGGGGGGCGGGGGCGGTAGTAATGGTATTAGTATTGAAAAAAATATTACATCTTTGGTTCTATTCCTTCTAAAATGCTTTAGTATAAGGATTTTGACAGAAAATACATTAATTGTGTAGTGTTATTATATAATACTATAAAAATCATTGCTTACAAGGAAGTTTTTAGATCATACAATAAAAGAAAATATTAAGTACGTAAATTCAAGTGTACTGCACCCACTTTTCATTGGTCTTAGAATAGGTCATCCAGATTCCATTCATCAGCAGCATGTTACTCACAATCATCCCAATTCAAAAGTACAGGGAGGGGCGCAGAAACTTCCTTTTTGTGAAGACGCATTGTGAAGGGAGGGGAGGTCGCAGAAAAGTGGGGATAGGCTCGGCAAACACAGCAGTCACGGAAGTTTCTGTCTAATACTCCTCAGTAGGAAACATGAGGTGGACGAGTGAGCAGTGTGTGTTTGCTGTCGGAGCCTATTTTTCGAACAACTATTCCTACGTGGCGGTGCAGCATGCGTTCCGTACTCACTTCGGAATTAAGCCCAGAGTTCCGGTTCCTACCAGAAATCGATTGTTTTGTGGGTAGAGAACTTTAGGACAACTGGGAGTGTGGTGAAAAAATCATCAGGACGACAACAGACCATTATGACACCAGAAAATGTGGAGGCAGTTCTGCAGTCGATTTTGAGATCTTTTTCGAACCAGCTCTTGAAGAAATGCATCTAGGAAATGTATGGTTCCAACAGGATGGTGCCATGGCCCACACAGCTCGAACTTCGATGACAGTCTTGAGGGCAAAGTTCCCCGGACGGCTCATCTCGCTTCGAGGTGACATCCCGTGGTCAGCGCACTCACCTGATCTAATGCCCTGTGATTTTTTATGGAGATACCTCAAGGCAGAGGTTTTTAAACATCGCCCCACAAACCTATTTCAGCTGAAGAATATTATTCGGCAGGAAGTAGCCCAAATTCCAGCGCACATGTTGAAACGTGCAGAGGGGAACTTCAGAAAATGGTTGCATCAGTGCATAGAGAATGGTGGCCACCACCTTCAAGATATTTTGTTTAAAACTACGTGATTAAAACTTTAAGGTATGTTCTTTCATTAGGTAAATATAAATTTTGTCTATCAGCAATAATTTTTCATTTATTCGCCTTAAAAAAAAGGAAGTTTCTGCGCCCCATCCTGTATTTTCATATAGTTGACAGCAACAGTGCAGGAGTGTGAAATCAGTTGATGCAAATGAAACAGCTTGTATATTATTATTTCTTTTTTTGTAGGTGGATTTTTAGACCGTTCTCCACCACTGCTTAGTCCACCAATGCCAGAGAGTGGAACAGACAGTGTAGAATCACGCTTGAATGGTTCCAGCCCACCCACAGGTGGCAAGAGATCATACAGAGAAAGTGATGAAGGTAACAGAAGAAATACTTTGTGTTTCTATGAAACGTTTCTGCGAAATCTTCCATGAACTTGTTTTGTGGAAGGAAACATCTGTTGATAGTTGGTGAAGTTCCCTGATCCAACACTGTTACAGATTCACCACTGTATAGTTCACTGTTGCAACCCTTTTGTTTGACATGTAATGTATACACATATTTTTCCATCATGTAATATTTAGCTTTATATGTTAATTTGTGCAGTGTTTACTGTGTGTACCCAAAGAGTTTTTTAGCCAGAAATAAATGTTGAAAAGTTATAGTGCATAAAATATGCAAACATTACTTTTCAGAGTATAATTTTACAGATTAGGATTGGGGTCAGGAAGCAGATTATTCAATTATTTTATTTTTTTCCTTTCAGTTACTACAGATGCCAAAAGTTGGAGAAAACAGGAAATTCCAAGTGACAGTTCTGTCATGTCACCACCTCCTCCTGCTCCCATGTCATTAACTTTTACGAGACTCAGTCCTGCAGCGGGAGGAATTCTGAACAGCACCCCAACACCCATGGTGGGATCAGGTAAGTATTTTTTTGTTAAATCAGTTAGATTTGATTCCAACATTCATTAACTACATCTTTTAGTTACCAAGATGTGATCCCAGTGGTGATTTGAGGTACCCACAATGTTTGCCTAGAAACGTCCTGGGGTTGTAGTTGAAGTTCTGCCTAGGATATAGATGTTTGTGTGCACTTTCATCAGCACTGATCATTCTGACAAGTTGAGGGTTCTGCATTGGGTTGTGCTTCATTGGTTGAAGAATCCTAGGATATCTTTGTTGGTTGTATTTCCAAGCACTCTGGTGAGTTACAGAACTTAATTTTTCAGTCTGTACAAGCATTGTAAGTTTGTTACTGTTAGGGGGGAGCAAGTAAATATTCTACTCCAGGTATTCAATAGTGACTACAGGTGGGATTTGGATTGGTAATTTGCTTTATTGAACCCCTCAGACTCGCTTACAGTTAGCTATGATGGTTTCGCATTTCTACACACTTAACAGATCACTACAGCATGCACTAAGTCTTCTCAAGATGCAGTGTCTTTACTGGTTGTTGCCTGGTAATGCTGCCAGTGCTGTAGGTCCTTCAGATTCTGTGTTCTGCAGCTCCAGTCCTCACTGGCTGGTGCCTATCTCATGACTGAATCTACTGTCCCAATACTCTTTAGGCTGACAGGCTTATCCCATTGGTCCTCATGGTATATCCTTGGGACAGACTAAACAGAAAACACCTTTTCTTGCAGCTGCTATGTTACAATATGATGTGGCAATTGTGATAAGACACACAGAAACCACTGCTTCCTGGAAGTTGCTTCATTGGTGTGTGATGTTACTGCTGTCACAGAGACATGTTAATAGTGCTGTTGCCTAGCAACATGTCTCAACTTTCAGCAAATATGTCACACTGCTCCCTCCTTGGGGAACTGTCAGTATTGGAACAGACTATGGTCTGGATGGCCAGAGTTTGATTCCTGGCAGGGGCGAGAAATTTTTCTCTACTTGACAGTGTCCAGACTGGCTCTGAGGCCAATTTACCTTCCTGTCTAGTGGGCTGTTTCCCTGGAGGTCAAGCAGCTGGGAGGTGAAGCTGACCACTCATGTCCATCTAGTGCCGTGGTCAAAAAAGATAGAGCTCTACCTCCACTGCCCATATGTTTTCATGGCATGATGCTTAATTAATTAAGCACAGAGACAGCTTTACCTTTCTCTTTAGTTATATACTGTCATGTGTTGGGTATAGTGAATTTATTGCACATTCGCTCTTACAATCACACAACTCACAATTTCACGAATACTGCCATCTGCAGTATCACACTTACTGCTTATATTCAACTGTCTTCTGCTACATTATAACTGTTTTAGGCGGCTGCTATATTTAAACTCTTCTTTGTCGGCCTTCCTATCGGCCGCCACCTTTTCTTGGTTGGCGTCTAATTTGGCCATTAAATCTTCTTTGTCTTTTTTTCTATTGGCCTCCATCTTGTCTTGGTTGGCTGTAGCTTCCTCTTGGCCAGCTCTGATTTCCTTCAGCAGAAGTTCCATCATCTTCTGTGATTCCAAATTGCGTCAGTATAGTACTCGATGCACTTGTAAGTTCAATTATCCATCGAGGCGTGTTGAAGTTCGTAAACCACTTCTGACACCAAATGTAACGTGTTTTGCTACTGAAGACGCCGTTCGCATTGTTAATTGGTTTATTTAACAACCTACAGATCTTGGCTACAATTAATTATTACACTGTTATGGGTTTACACACTTTACAAACCCTACACACAAATCTCTTCACACTGTCCTCAGTAGTCTACACGTATTCACAGTACGATACAGGAGCTATACCAGTGTCACTGTATTACACACTCCCAATAACTTCTCACACCATCGGTATTCGTCACTTTCACGATTCGCTCGCTACAACTGAACTCGGCGACTTCCAATTTAACTGTCTTTGGCAGCTGCTATATTTCAACTGTCTTCTTAGGCAGTGTAGTTCTCTTATAAACCCTCAGCCAGACAACAGAAAACATCTCGCTTCCCTGTTGCCATATCGCCTGTTTACAGGTGTTGCTGGGCAATGCTGTCTAGAGTTGTTTCCAGCTGTGTAGTAACCGCAGCATCCCCCGCTATGTCACTGTTGTCACCTGCCATGTCACAGTGGGAAGCGCTGCCACATCACTGTGGGAGAAGGGGTCGGAACGCTGACCGGCCCATCACCATAGTAGCGGCAGCGCTGTTACACCATTGCTTGGGAGGGGGGAGAGGGGGCGTCCTGCATAGCGCAAATATGTCACAATACTTTTAACACACAAAATGTCTGCACAGTATGTACCAGTATTTGATTGCCCCAGGTTAATATTTAATAATTTTTAGCCTAATTTCCATCATTAAAGAAAGAAACTTTCAAATCAGTTAAGCACTTTCATGAAATGTGGTAGTTGGTGTAAAGACACGCAGTCGCTCTCTCATGTGCATACAACTGTGTACCCTCCATTCACACACACACACACACACACATGGACAGACACACAGACAGACAGGAAGACACACACACACAGAGTATCTTATGTAGCTTGTACTGGCATTCAATGTATGTTTTTATTTGGAATATGCTTGGAGTGGAGACTGGCTTTGTTGTTGAATTGTGACTGTTGTCTGTGCTGCAACAGTTATATAATGTTGTTAGTTTGTCAGTACCAAATTGGGGAGAACACTAATCTGTGTGTAACATTGAACGGTAGGCTGCGCCATAGCTGAAGCGGTTAGTCACTGGCTTCCCACCGCGGGGGCCCAGGTTTGATCCTGGGGCTGGTCAAGTGGATTTGTGGTGGAGAAAGTGGCGCTGGGGCATGTTTTCTCCTAGTCCTTCGGTTTCCCCTGCCAATCTTCATTCCACCAGTTGTTCCACAGTCACCATCACCTGTCATCTGCGGCTGGTAGAATAGGCCAGAAATGGCCGCAGTACAATAGACTTAGTCCCACCCTACTAGAATTAAAGACTAGAAAAATAACATTGAATGTTTAAGTGTGCAGATTAGTGATGGCTCTGTAATTACTTGTACTTACGAGTCTTGTGTATAAGTGGCCAGTAAATCCAATATCCAATCCAAACCCCCCTCTTTCAGTCACACATGCACGTGACAATATCCTCACACCATATTTCTTTAACCCTTCAGTCCTGGGGACATTTAAATCGTTTTTGCACTCCAATGCCGGGGGCTATTTAAATAATTTAATCGGAGAATGCAGCACTTAACTTAAAGCTTAATAAACGGGGAAAAACTGGAGTTCTGTTTTTCAGATTTTCACACAACGTCAAGAGAAGTATATAGAATTAAAGTATTGACCCACACTACTTTAAAATTATTTTTGGGCCAGTAAGCGTATAAAAATTATTAATTACCTTAAAAATTCAGCTATGTGTGGTAGTCGCGGAAACACTCAATGCTGCCCTCATTTCCAACAGCTTCAATCAAGGCACGATCATCTAACTTGCTTTCAGTGTCAAAATCCGAATCTGACAGACTTTGTTCGGAATCACTTTCAAGCAAACACTGTAAGTCCTCGTCACTCAACACAGTTGAACATCTCTTGCTTGTCCCAGCTATGGCTGCTACATGCAAGCTGCATTAGCTATGTGGAACAAACAGAACCTCAAGGAATGCAAACAAGGCATTTGTTTATCATATCTCACTGCTGTCATAACAGAGGTCAGCGTCACGTATCTTTCTTGTTAGGTTTTCTACACGTGGTTTCTCATTCCGTTCAAGAAGCAGCACTCGTCACTGGTGAATGGAAATCGAGTTTTTTGTCGACCAACACGCAGAGAGATCACAGACTTTCCTTCAACCAACATGCAAGGAGGTCACAGACTATAAACCTAGCATATTTAGTTCCTAACTCTCCAAGAGATGGAGACAGATTTGTATGGCAATACTGCAACCTAGACGGCAAGCTACGGAACCTCTTCAGAGACTTCTAATGTAAAAAAAAAATACCCCGGGAAGTTCAAAGTGGGATAACGAATGTACGAAATGATAGACAGAAATTTCCTCTTTCATTTTATAGCAAAAGTATTACTTTACATGAAAAGCAGCACAAGACGCATGACAGCGTCGCCCGGCGAGATGTGGCATTTAAATGCCGATGTGCTATGTACGTCGCCCGGCACTGGAAGGTTAAGATACATTTCAGTATTATTCCTCACTTTTTACCATAATTTCTTAATCTGGTTTTTATAATATTGTAACATGTTTTGCTACTGAAGACGTGGTTCAGATTGTTAATTGGTTTATTTAACAACCTACAGGTCTTGGCTACAATTGATTATGACACTGTTACAGGTTTACACACTTTACAAACCCCACACACAAATCTCTTCACAGTGTCCTCAGTAGTCTTCATGTATTCACAGTACGATACGGGAGCTAAACCACTGTCACTGTATTACACACTCCCAATTACTTCTCTTGTGAGCCAAGCATCTGCTTCTCACACTATCACTTCTAATCACACGTTCCGGTATTCTTCTTTCCGCTACAACTGAACTCGGTGACTGTCCCAATTCAGCTGTCTCCGGCAGTGGCTACATTTTAACTGTGCCACTCCTGATCACACACTACTAACTCACTGAAACTGCTAACTACAGCTGACTTCTTATTTAGCCTCGGTACGGACAACACAGAAAACAGTTACGTAATATGTACCACTGTTTAGTACCGTCGTGGTTACCGATTTCCTAGCAACAGTCATTGCACGGCTTGCCTGTCACGTGATGTCATGTTTACCGCTTGCCTAGCAACGCGTCACCGTGGGCGGGAGTGGGGCAAAGAGTTGACTAGCGGTGTTACGTCTGCTGGCGGGGGAGGGGGAGAAGTGTTGACTGCCTGTTACTGGAGCAGGGGCAGCGCTCTGATGCCGCCATATCACCACTGGTGGGGGAGGGTATGTCCTCCATAGTGCAATTTATCACACTTCTCCCTCCTTAAGGCTGTTCATCCCAAATACCCTAATGGTACATCCCCGTTCCTTTTATTTGCAGGCTGTTCTTGCGTCTTCTGTTGTTTCGGCTACTCCTAGCAGCAACTATTCTCCATCCGTTACATCCGCTCCCCTCTTAAGACCAGCTGGTCTCGAGCGGTTTCCTTTCAACTTGCCAGAAGATCCAGTTGTATCACATTCATCCGTCACACATTCATTCTTGCTTGGGAGGATGGTACTTCTACATTACTGGTTCCTCCTCTGCTTGAAGTCTCTTTTTCCGTTTTGGAGGGGGTCATCCCCTCCACAAAGTCCAATCCACGATTCTCCGCGTCCTGCTGTAAGTCTTTGGCATTCATTTAGTGTTTTTCAGACCATAGGTCTCATATAAGATTGTCCTTAGTGTTCCTTCACTTCCCAGAAGAGCTCGCGCTCTCGGGCTCCACTTTGGATGCCGTCTGTGGTTGTCCTCTTCTTCGTCCCATGTAGTGGCCCCACGCCATGTTGATCCTTTGTTCCTTCATGGTGCGTCCGTAAATTCTTCTGGAGCGGCCCTACTCTCTGGGTTGCTCGCTGAATCTTGGCCCTGGTACGGTTTCTCCCAATGAAGTTTTTCTTTTACAGTTCCACTTTCGCATGGCAGGTCGTTCCCTTGCTGGCGAATTCCAATCTTGTGGGGTCCACAGTTTTTCTGGGTGGTGTTCCTGAAGATGTTCCTCTTGAGCCATGCCACTGTCGCACGGCGAGACACCTTCCTGCTGGTTTTCTTCTGCTGTGCCACTGTTCCAATTCAACTGTCTCTGGCGGTGGCTACATTTTAACTGTACCACTTCTGATCACACACTAACTCACTGCAACTGCTAACTACAGCTGACTTCTTATTTAGCCTCGGTACGGACAACACAGAAAACAGTTATGTAATATGTACCACTGTTTAGTACCGTTGTGGTTACCGATTTCCTAGCAACAATCGTTGCACGGCTCGCCTGTCGCGTGACGTCATGTTTACCGCTTGCCTAGCAAGGCGTCACCATGGGCAGAAGGGGGGCAAAGAGTTGACTAGCACTGTTACGTCTACTGGCGGGGGGGGGGGGGAAGTGTTGACTGCCTGTTACCGGAGCAGTGGCAGCGCTCTGATGCCACCACGTCACCGCTGGGAGGGAGGAAGGTATGTCCTCCATAGCGCAATGCGTCATACTATGTTTGTCTTTCTGTAATTAAAATGGTGAGTTCATTGCTGTACAACATAGGAAAATCATCACATTTTGTTTGTGTAAGTGCACCTAATTGAAGGTAATATTTTACTGTTTTGCAGGAGGTGGCATTGTAGCTCTCAGTGAGTGCAGTAATTCTTCATGGGCAGAAATGGAGAGTTATGTTATAGGGAATATCCAGATATATCCTCCAACACTGGCAACAAGGCAGGTACTAATTCTGAGGTACCTCACTCCAATGGGGGAATACCAGGAGGTAAATAAACATGTACTTTGTTTTTCAGAATTTTCTAACATCAGGGTAGTGTTAGGAGATAACTAGATGAATTATGAAAGTACTGAACACTGATATGAGGAATAAAAAATACATTTTGTCAGCCACAATTCTGTGTACACAAAACGCCTGTTTTAAATTTATCATAGGACCATCTATTCTGATGCAGAAGTTTCCATTTCATTACATACAGAGGTAAATGATCCTACAAAGTTTTGGGGTAGAGATTTGTCTTTTATAACTTCTTCTGCTTTGAAATGCAGCTTCAGCTTCACATGGTACATCAAGTTGCCAAAGATGGAGCTCATATGGTCAAGTCATGTCATGTAAAGATTCCCTTTCAACATCTGCCATGATACTAATGCTTTAACTCCCATCAACTCTGCTGCTGGCAAACCTTCCAATGTGGCTATTTTTCTTAGTACAGTAACAGTTTTCAGTATTTCACTGTATTTAAATAAATGGAAAGTGATTTATATCCATCCAAGGGATCTCGCATCTGGTGACAGGAAGGAACCGCATGCTTGAAGTAGGTTCTGAAAAAAATATTTGTCTTTGTAATGGTGAGTTCAAATGTGAAAGTATGGACAAAGCACTGGTCAGCGACTAGTTGTGAATACAGGAGTGAAAGTTTTAAGTAAATGTTTGGCATAATGTGCAGTTTATTCTTGTAAAATGAATGATTTTTATAAAGAGTCCTGTCTTTTGGGATATAATGCCATGTAGTCTCTTGAAATTTGACCTGCTTTTCAGAGGAACGTGTCCCCATCCACTGAAGATAGAGGTGACCTGTTCCTCCTAAATGTTGGTTGACTTTTACCAGACTACATGATATTATATCCCAGGAGATAGAACTCTCTGTAGTCACTGCTGTGAGAACCTCAAATTCAACAATTTTTATGTTGACATCTAAAGGGAGAAGGCTCACCTTTGAAGTAATTAACATCATACTTTCCTCCCTTTCGTCATACGCCTTTTCATTCTTGTTACAGTTTTTGGGCCATGTGTTTGAACACAATGCCCTTGAGTTGATACTCAAATACACAGATCTGAGGGAATCAAAAGATTCACGCCTTGCCTTTGAAGCACTGAAGTATTTAGCAGCTCTGCTCTGCCACAAGAAATTCTCAATAGAATTCATTAATATGAAAGGATTACAAGTAAGTCAGATTAATTATATATAAGACTAGAAAGTTATTTTTAGCTAGTGTGTTTAGTAACATACCTCTTTATTGTGAATGTAATTTTACTACTGTGTCCTAGCAGTAAAATTCTATTTATGTTATCCTCTCAGCATTAAAAGTATGCATCATTTTCTTACTCATGCATACTTCACTACTGCCTCCTATCCATTGGGCACTATAGGGTCCTTTCCTTCTAGTAAAGTAGCCAGGGCATCAAGTTGACAGCTAAGCTCTGTCGAGTGCCAAGTTCAAGAAGTTATACTTCCACTCCCTTGCACATATTCATGGTGTGAGGCTTAATTCAGTGCAAGAATTGCTTTACTGTCAGTACTGTAGCTGAACATTATTTACCCCTTTATATTCTTTAACTGCATGTGTATCAGTTCATGTTATTTCATATAAGGATTATCATGGAACCAAGCACTGCTGAGGTATCTGGATTACCTCAGTCACTTTTACTGTCTTGACAATACATTATTTCCAATATCAGTCAGAAATTTCCCTAAGAATCACCCAAATGAAGTTATGATTTAAAACTGGAAATGAAATATCATTTTATACAAACTTATATTTATCTTCTCTTTGAATTTTACATTAAAGGTCTTCGCTTCCCCAACCTCAGTAACAGATGTCACTTATATCTACTTCTAAAGATGAATTAAACAAAAATGTTCATCATTTTTCTGAATTGTGGAAAGTGTCAAATTCAGGATTGGTTTGAGAGACAATTTAAGTAAATGATGGCCTGGAATTGTTTTTCTGTGCTTCCTTTTTTTCAGTCCAATTTTCATGTTTGGACAGTTCAGAAAGTCTTGATTTGATGTTGCTGTCTACATTACATAATCATTATTTTAATATCATAATTGTGTCAGTGAGGTAAGTGCTATAAGTTTCTGTATCAAAAACAGCTAATGGCGTTACCAAATCTTTACCCTATATTGAACGGCACAACAACTATGGTAACATCTGGAGTAGTGTTATGGGAATTTAAATACCCTCTATACAATCAGATATATTTAAATTGTATTTTTTTTTATTGCTGCATGGCTGCATTTCATATTTCACTGCAGAGTGCAATAAATCGATAAATCCTTTTTTATGCCTGGTCCATCATTAATAAATGCACTCTCAAACTTAGTAATTTTTACATACTTCTTTCCTGTATATTTCTTATATCATTTAGAAATTGTTTACTTTCTTTCCTACAGTATGTAGTTACTCACACAAGGTAACAGCTTTGTCATGTTTAGCACAGTGATTGTTTGTATTGGTAACATTATTTGCAGTGGTCTGTGTCTCAGGTTGTTTCTTGTGACACTGTTTTTCTATCTGCTGATGTTTAAAATGCAAAGAAAGAAATGAAGATAAGTGTCTTATAAACATACAAAATAGCAGAGACTTTCACATTATGAGAAAAATTGCAGTACCAAAATTTGTCCCAGCTAATTGAATCTTATATATTGGCAGGAACCTATATTGTTTATGCTCATTGTTTTCAGACACTGTTGAAAGTTCCTAGGCCAAGTGTAGCTGCCACTGGTGTGTCTATCTGTCTCTACTACCTTGCTTATTGTGAAGATGCAATGGAACGAGTATGCCAACTCTCGCACCACATCATAACTGATTTAGTTAAGTAAGTTGATGTAGCAGTGATGTTTACAGTATAGGAACATAATGTGTCTTACTGTTTAGTGTAATGAAAGTATCTGTTTGGGAAGATATAACTTATTTTGTCCACAAAATAAGCAGAGTGAAAAAATTGAGTGCAGTAATTATATGATTCAGTGCGATTTGTACACACATTTTAAGAGCTACATATATATGTATATTTTATGAGTGGAAACAAGTAGGGCCTCACAAAATAAATTTTCCTATTTTTTTTAACAATAAATATCCAGACCCTGTCTAATTTTAACACTTCACGGACCAGCGATTTAAATATTTAAATCACCCTGGGGACCGGCATTTTTAAACATACCACTCTAACTTATAGTTTCACTTTAAAAATTAATATAAAATCTCCTAATTAATTTTTTGAACTAAAATTTTTGGAGAACACTTACTAATGCTCCTAGAAGTGCTTGAGGGTGTGATATTTCTGGAAACATTCCCCTTTGTGAAGTGGCATTACACAGAACTTGCAAATGTAGACATACTTTTTTTTTGTGAACTGTGCAAACACGGCATTGCCTAGAAGGATTCTTCCCCTTGGAATGTTCACTCCTCATAATTTTCATGAGGGTGTTCACTCTTCACAATTTTCACGAGGGTATTATTCCCCATATCACTCGAGAGTCGCCAGGGGAGTCCACATGAGGCCCTTGTGGGGTGGGAGTTGAAGGGCCCAGTCATACTAAATCTTTGTGTGACACTGGTTCTGCTGCCACCATCTGGTCTGTAGCCCAGGCTTTTGCCTCATTCATCAGAAATGCTTTGTATTTCAATTTTGAACCAGGGTTTAGATTTTTTTTTTAGATTTTTTGCTGTCCCTGCAATGTTACTACACGCAATGTTATTACCCTCATTATCGTCGGAGCTACTGTCACTTTTACTGTCTGTGGCCACAATCCTTTGTTGTCCCCCATCACTGTCGCTGTCTGAATGACAATCCATTAGTACGCGTCTCACAAGGCAGGTCAGCTAGGTCATTGGAGGAGAATTTGTCCTTGATCCATTCTCCCCACTAGCCACCAGCTGATACACACAGCTTGAAGAAGGCAAAGCATTTTCCTTTATAGTCGGTTAAGTAAACAGCAAGGTCAAGTTACTGACTGCTAACTAAACATTCAAGAGTCTTATCACACATCTGCAAGCGGTTGCGTGCAATGTAGGTGGCACCAAAGCGGTGTATAGTGTGTTGCAACTTACTGTGTTCTAAAAACATATTAATACATGACCGGTCCGTCACGTTTAAAAGCGAAAAACGTATTAATGAGTGCGCGGTCCGCAAAGTGTTAATACAACTTTTTAAAATATTATCACACTACAGTAAACTCTCGATTATCAGTGATAGTGGAAGGAGGGTGTAGTACCTCTAATTAAAGATGACAGATAATCCAGATACCACATGTATCTCAGTATGACATACTTTTTGATATTTGGACATCTGAAAAAACATGGGTTATCTTATGTTTGAATACTTACTGCAATGGAGTCAATATTTTTATTCTATCAGTAGTACTGTGTGTTTAAATTCAAGGTCAGTGAAGTGTTTATCGGTAGGTGAAACCAGCACTAAGGTACACCATTGATCTGTGGCTGTAATGTAGCCCCATAGCATCGGCAGCAGTCTGAAGGACAAGCTTGCATGTGTGTACATAATATGCCCCCCCCCCTTATTTATGTAATAGCAAGAAAGTAGAATACCATGGTATAAATCATGGGTGACCATATTGAATAGAGAGGTTCTGTAGTATCACAGATATCAAAAGGGGTGTGTTGCAGCTATGACATGAAGCTTGTGGAAGAAACTACCAATTGCACAGTGACACAAAAATTTGTAATTTCCCAAGTAAATATCCAGTGCAAGAGGAAACTGAAACACTGGTCAAAGTGTGCCATTTCTGCACACAAAAAAAATTAAGGGCTCCTACAAGGACGGCACAAACATATACAGCCTTTGTGAAAAAGAAAAATGTCTGATACAAGTATGTATCTTTCATGAACATATAAATTTTTCAGAGATGTTACTTATATTGAGGTAAATGCAGTACCTATCTAATGTGTGAAGGTAAAACCTGTAACAGACTACAGACCGGGAGTTTACTCGTCCTGCTGCTGGGCACTGAACAGGGAGGTATATCTTTATAATAGAAAGCAGCGGCCCTTGTTTGGTAGTGGCAGACCTGAGCAGAAAGTAATAAAATAATAACAGAAAGTTGCAGAAGGGTTAGAACATGCAGTCTGCTCTAAATTGTTGCAAAGCATCGTTGGTATATATAACTGAAACACAACACATATCCTTATGGGAAGCTGTAATCAGCAACTAGGGGCATCTGAAAGTTTCTAGAATCAACTGTAGATTCCCACTGTGCCAGATGTTCTTCAAGTATGTATTAACATTTAGTTCATAATTCTGTACTTTTCAATATACTATAACCTTTTTAGCCTATTTTGCCTATTTAAAAAAAAATAAAAGTGGGCTTATGAGATCACTTTGATGTCTTTGTATTTGTATATCACCCTTATCGATGTTAGGCAACAGCTTGGTAAATATATTCCTGTGTCAGTAAATAAACGCACAACAGTAGAAGAACTGTTGAACCCAAGAGCAGTCTGTGTCTTATCAAAGCAACATAGGTGATTAGTTATTCCTAGAACTCCTTGTTCACTAATATAAATGTCATGAGTGCTAAAATTTGTCCTAAATATTGTGCTATATATTGATTGTAGCATATGTAGAACATGTATAAACTTCTTTACAGGTATTCACTTTGGCTGCTGGAGTGTTCCCATGATTCTGGACGGTGTCATGCAACAATGTTCTTTGGACTTTCCTTCCAGTTTCGAGCAATCTTAGTTGAATTTGATGCCCAAGATGGTCTTAGGAAACTTTATAATGTAGTAAGTTTATTTCTTTTGTTTTCATATTTGTTCATAATAAAAATCTGAGGAATTCTGTGGTTCTTAGGATGAAACTAGTAACCTTTATTGCATTTTTCTTGAGGCAAAGACAAATTCCTCAGTTACCAGAAAACGTGTGTGTGTGTGGCAGAAATGTCATAATACAGATTTTACAAATTAACATTACTCAGTACACCTTAAGCAAACCTCATATTATTATTTTTACAAAATGTGGTATAGTGCTTGGAAAAATCTAAAAATTAACATAGAACATATTTCTGTTATTTTCTTCATTTCATGCATCCTGTTGTGTTATAATATACAACTTTATTTTTCCATCACAACACAACAACTAAGGAGTATCAAAGTCAGTACTCAGCTATGCCCCGCTACATGTTTTGGCCGTTAACAGCCATCAACAGGTGAATACAAATCAATAAACATATACTTTTGAACTGTGGTAAAATTAGATACAATGACAAAAAAGTTAATTCTTCTGTGTAAAAATACAATGGTCACTTATATATAAAACTGAAGGTTATGATATAAAACAAGATTAAAATTGATGTTTTATAACATCTGATCAGTCGTATGTTTACCTTATACGTTCTGTGGACAAAATAAAAATATAAGATAGTACTGGAGGCTCATGACATTGCAAGTTAATTAATAGAGTAGAAGTGCCTCATCATACAAAAGAAAATGTCCGTATTGTATGAGGAGTAAACAACAACAACTTCTACTCTATTAATTAACTTGCAACGTCATGAGCCTCCAATACCATCTTATATTTTTATTTTGTCCACGGAACGTATAAGGTAAACATACGACTGATCAGATGTTATAAAACATCAATTTTAATCTTGTTTTATATTATAACCTTCAGTTTTATATATAAATGACCATTGTATTTTTACACAAAAGAATTAACTATTTTTGGCATTGTATCTAATATTACCACAGTTCAATAGTATATGTTTGTTGATTTGTATTCACCTGATGATAGCCATTAACGGCCGAAACATGTAGTGGGGCATAGCTGAGTATTGACTTTGGTACTCCTTAGTTGTTGTGTTGTGATGGAAAGATAAAGTTGTATTTCTGTTCTTTGTCACCTTTCCTTGTAACCCACATAAATTTATTGCCTTCTGCTGTATATGACATACCATTGTTAAGAGAACAATGTGTTTAATATTAAATATTGAATTAATGGTATGGAAACATGATTTTAATCACTTTCTGAGGTCATTTTAATGTCTGGATTCAAAGAATTTTGCACATTTCTGTTTTTAATGCTTCTTAATTTTACTTTGTTTTTCATATGAATCTTTAAAAGAAGGAGCTGTGCTAAGCTGGAGTATGTGGATATTCCCAAATTTTGTAAAGACCCTGTGCATTTTTTTTTTAACTGAAATTGTTTTCATAGAAATGTAAAATTCTAGTATATGTGCTGATACATGTGATTGGCACAACATCTTTTAGTGTAGAACTGTGACATCAAATTTCATTGGCATCCTTTAGATCAGGCATGTCAAACTCAACTTGTACAGAGGGCCACCTCGGCCCTACAAATAATAGTCCAGGGCCGCACTTCAAAATAGAAATATACATTAGATTTTGATACAAGGAAATTTAATTCTATTTATTATTTAGGAATAATTTCGATATAATTACCTAGAGTCACATATCTTACAGTTTTAAAAAGCAAGAGAATGCCATTTTTGACAAGTATCAAACAGCTTTTCAATATGTAAAAAGAGAGATTACACAAGAAATTATGTTAGAAATAGCAAAACATCGAATTTCCTGCAGCCTGCTAATTTATGTCTGTGTGAATCTTCTTGTCTTCTGGTCTGTTTGAAAATTGTCTTTACAAAAAATATTTCTACTAAAATTTTAATATTGATTTTAATATCAATTAGCTCTAAAAGTTGAGGGGCTGCACTTTGTGACTATGGGGACCGCATGTTTGACATGGCTGCTTTAGATACTTTCAGGTATAAAACAGAGGCACATCATATGTTCATTTTCTTTGCTTAAAATAAATCACACATAGAATGGGGACTCATACCTTACAATGTTTACTGCATATTATCTTCCAAACTTCTTATTATTCCCCAAAAAATCTTCTGCTTATAAAAATTGTATGTATTTCAAATGTTTTAATAGCCTACAGATAACAGGAAGAAGACAGCTATTGCAATCTCTTTATAGAAATTGTTCTTAAATATAGTGTGTTTCATCATTAAAATTGGTGGAAGAAACCAGATTAAATTTTGCATGATATGGTTTCCAGGTTAGCACTTTACCTATCCTGTCAGTGGAGGATGAAGCAGCATTAAATGATGATGAAGAATGTGCTGCTCGTCAGATTGTACGTCATGTATGCGTCGCACTGAAGCGGTACCTAGAGGCACATCTCTGTATCAAAGCTGAGAACTTAAGACGCACACAGTTACGGGAGACAGGTGGCCAATTGGAACCAGTGCTTCCTCCGGCTAAGGTAAGCACAGAGCATTATTTTAGATGTGGAAAGTTACGATGCATAAACAAAGCCACATTTTATTAACAGACATCTTCACTGCATGGTATTGGGAATTCAGCTAGCTCTGACTTCATGTACCCAGCCTGTCTGTTCTGCAGTCTTCCTTAGTCTTGACATATGCATGATTTGTACTGTTAAATATCTTTCAATATTTTTTCATCATCATTCTATGAAAATGGTGTATTCAATTCTGTATTCATCTCTTATTTTATACTGGGTCATAAAGTGTATGTAGAGTATACTTATGATTATAAATGTTAATGAAAGGAAAGAACAGATCAACAGTTGAAAAGTATGGATAATAGAAGATGGGAGGCTCTGATGATTTTTGAACATAGAAGGTAAGTTGTCCCAGTTCTTAATTAGTCAAGCACTGTACCATGAAGACATGGATGAGTAGAGGTATAGCTCCACCATTCTTGACCTTGGCACTAGATAGAGGTGAGTGGTCAGCTTCACGCTCCTGCCACTTTACCACCATGGAAAGTGCCCTGGTACCCATTGGATAGGAACATTTGGAAATGTATGCATGATGTGTGTTCTGGCTTATTTGTGTCTAGAGCCAGAAGGCTTTCAGGAAAGTGTGTTTCAGTTTTCTCTAAAAGTTTTATTGAGACATTTTTTGTCCCTGTAAGTATTTAGTGAGTTATCCTTGAGAAAAACACTGAAACACATGTAAGTATTGGCATCAAGTATTCATTACAATCAGCCTGTCTGACTTGACAATTGAAAATTTAGGAGTGTTGTTTATAAAATTCACTTGTAGTGAGTTCCATGATCATTTATACAGTGGTGCTTGAGTTTCAGGTATACAGACAGATGGACTAAACAAACTTAATGAATGATCCACAAAGTTGTGAATATGCTTAAAATTATATCTGGATAATGCAGAAACAAGATATTTTGCACATATATTTTTCTTTATATAACCTGTGAGATTTTTATGCACCCACAATCTCTCAGTAACAATACAATGCGAGTAATATTCTCATTGCCAGGTGCTGTTTGTAACAAGCCGCTGATCAGATTTTCTACCCTCCTCAAATCTCTAGCCAGCATTTACTGTCTGGCATAATTCTTCTATGTCTATTACTTCTGCTCACATGAATCTTGCCAATGAGGTTTGTGGCATTGGCAGAATGATTAGTGTCCTATACAGCAAGTAGTTGAGTATGCCTGCTTGATAAACATTGAGGCATATAAGTTGTTGAGGTACTAGCTAATTTACTCTTGACTTTCTGTTCAAAACCTTGAATGTAGCCTAGCATCTGAGAAAAGGCTCATCTCCATCAGCATGTGGTTTCAGTAATCATAAATAGCTTGAGGACAAGAAAAGTGCACTGGTGATGCAAGACATCACAGTACTGTCACAGGTGCTTCTAAACATTCGCCTTTTTTACGAGGAGTATCTGCTACTGTTGGAAGCATTGGCACATTTTTGCCTTTTGTATTTTCTCTGTTCCTTTTGTTGAGAGGAACTGATTCCCACTATTTAAATGCAGGCAGCACTTCTAGGAAAATGAAAATGTGAAGAGAAGGTGGAGCTATGAGAATAATCCATTGATATCAATAGGGCTGTGTTAGCAAACATGTTACATGTTGTGTGCCCTATTGTATGCAGAACAGTCAAGAAATTTGTACTGTCTTATGTGTACTTTACAATCATAAGCAGCAGTTTGAAATTGTATCAGACATGAGTAAATGTAACAGTTACACAGCTGGATTCAAAATGATGGCTGTAAAATTCATGAAGAAGAATGGAATCATATATTTTCCTCATACAACTCACTATTTCTTAATGTTATGCAACTGTAATTTTCCTAACCTTAGTCTAACCTGTAAAATTATATTGTAAAAAGTAACATTCACATCCACAAACATGTAAGTTGTATAATGGTAGTGGTCGTGGTAGTTTTTCCAAGAACACATAAATGCATGATACACTATATTAAGTCTTCCTAGCATTTCATGAAATTGCAACTTGGCCTTCTGTGATATTTACACATGTTATGAGGATGTTTGGTAGAGAAATTTCCAACCAGTATTGATATTGTAGCATGCAGACCTACTGCTAAGTCAAGACTCTGTAAACAATGCCCACTGCTAGGCAACAGATTCGTAATAAGCAATAATTGAACAGCAACATAGGGATGGTTTTCTTCTTTGCGGTCTGTGCTGAAATATTATAAGCAGGACAGTTAGTGCAGTGCAGGGAAGTGAAAAGTTGGTTATTGAATTAGCTAGTCAGAGAACTGCAGTTCAGTCCTTGTGAGTCCTTGCTGTTAGAAGCTGGTAGTTGAGAGACAGGGATAGATTGGAAACCCAGAGTAAGGAGAACTTCCACTGTTGGAAGCCATTACCAGACAACTCATGAAGACACTGCAGACTGTGAGTACTTAATGCATGCTGTAGTGAACTGCAGAAGTGTGAATTAGTGATAATGTTATTGTTACATGTGACCACCTCTGTGGTCAAGTGGTTAGAGTTCTTGACTACAGATCTAGAGGTCTGGGTTCGATTCCCAGCGCTACCAGATTTTCTGAGAAGCAGTGGCTCTGGAATGGGGTCCACTCAGCCTCATGATGATAATTGAGGAGCTATTTGAAGGAAATAGCGCCTCCCGTCTAGAAAAGCAAAATTAATGGCTGTGGGGATTCATTGAGCTGACCGCGCAGCATCCTCTATCCGCTAAAGTTGGCACTAACTTCACTGACAAGCGGTGGTCGCTCAGTTGGTATAGTTCGATTGTGGACTAAAACCACGGAGTTTATTTTTGTTAATTTGTTGCTATTGTTACTTGTAGTTACGATCTGTAAGTGGTCAGTAAATTCAATTACCAATCCAAACCTCATCTATAGTCACTCATACATATGACAGTATGTACTGTGAGTTTTGTAAACATCTTTAGTGATACAGGCATTGCTAGGAAGATGCTTCAGGGAATAAAGTTGTTAAGTTTTCACATATAAATTTGTGAATAAAGAAATGTGAGAATTATGTGATCAATCATAATATTTATTTTACATCCCCCTCATCTCCTACAGCAAGGAGTATGGCTGTATATCTGTATTAATTTCATTTTGACCACCTATTCCAGTCATATTGGCTTTTGGTGGTCAGTTGTCAGTGTTTTTTCCTGCATGTGGTACTGTTTAGTTTTGAATTTCTATTTTCAGATCAAATCAAGCCCAGAAGAGGTTCAGGAGCAGGTTCGACAACTACTGGATCTGATGCCATTCCAGTCCCACTGGGAGCCTGTGGATCAGCTCATAAGGCTTGGTGGCATCACTTTATTATTGCAGATAATAGCATTTGCCTATGAATGGAATTATGCTGGTCGGTAAGTTTAGTTTTACCTGTGCTTTGCCCATGTATGATCTTATTTATTTATTATAGAGCATTTGTTTCTTTAAGATTCATAAATATCACTGCACTTAGTCCACGTGCTCCATTAGCCCTTACTGGCCCTGTGTCACATTTTTGGGGTCAGTGCATAGGCAGTCCAACTGACTGATTGTTGCACTATTTCAATACTGATACAGTTACCCTTGAATTTAATTATGGCTGCCACTTATTTAGTAGCATAAGAGTTAAAAACCCCCTAACCCCAGACAATAAACTGTTGCTCTTAAATGAAAATGTCGCCGCCACTGTATGGTGCTGGGAGATTTAAAACCACTGTTCCCAGACTGTAGAAGTTAATTTAAGAGAAAACCGATGTCAGTTCACTTTGAGGCCTTGTGGGTTGTGGACATGTTCATTGCTTTGATACCATGTCGTGTGAAAGTAACTGAAATATGAAATAAAAATTTTTATGTACATAACTCAACAGGATGCAACACATAAATATTGCGACATATGATGTTAGAAGTGTGAAATTTGTTAATGTGATTTAAAATAGTATTGTTTATTACACTGTAAGGTAAAGGTAAAGTTGTCCCTCTGCTTAACTAATTAAGCACTGCCGAGAATGTATATGGGTGGGAGGTTTGTGCAACAGAAATTAAAAAAAGCGGTAACCTCGTAAATGCATCCAGAAATTGCTTGAAAACATCTGCCATGATTTCTCTGATGCTGTTAGTCATTTGACCATTTCAAATATATTCAGAGTGCAAGGCAATCCTTTTGAACAAATGATGTAAGTGGTTGAGGGAAGCGTTTCTCAGCCACCAGTCCGTAGCAGAATTTTGCTGGTTTCAAGAGTCGTTATTACCAGAGAAAATAAATCATTCTATTTTCTTGAACAAAGGCCCTTTGAAATGAAATACCAAAGAAATTTTTAGTCTACTTGCCTTATTTTGAAAAAATGAAATTAGGCTTATGTGATCTCCATGCTGTCTGTGTGTCTCCCCTACTGTTAAGTTCTGAATGCCTGAACCAGTCTTTATGAAACTTGATATGTACATCATGGCACCTGAGCCCGTCTCAAGGGCTACTTCACGAATGCTTCCCATCAGTCGGTGTGTCTGTATATGTATCCCCTGTCATTGCTAGTCAGTGGCTCAGTAAAAACATTACTGCAGCAATGAATACATATGCAACAATAGAAGAATTGCTGGATTCACCATTCTATGTGGTCCGTGTCATATGAAGGAAGGTAGGCAATTAGTTCTTCCCAGAACTATTTTTAAAAGGTGTTTTGAAGTTGAAAAAACAGTTTTAAAAGCTTTGTATTGTAACGTGTCGGCAATCCAAAAGAGTAACTTCTATGGAAACGCTAGAATAGACCGTTGCATAGGAAACAACATTCGCTCTACTGTAGTTCTAACAGGAATCTCCACGGTTACGATGAATACGCGAAGCGTTCCCACAGAGACAACGCAATAACAATGGGTCATTGCGTAGGAAACGCGGAACCGACAAAGCAAAGTTTCCACCGCTATAACAGAGGGTTCGTTACATAGCAGCGACCAAGGTTATACAGCGGGGTTGAATGCATTCGACAGTCAGTCTTGGAATAGCCAGCTAAGAAGTCAGTCGTGATCGAGCCATCTTAGAAGAAAGTCCTAGAATAACCGCCAGAGAAGAGAGTCCAGTGTCGGCCGGAATATTGTAAGCAGTAATTGTAACACTGCAAGTGCAAATGTTTGTAAAGTGTGTGTAAGGCGAGCGAACAGAATAAATTCGCTATACTAAACAACGGCATCAAGTTATTTGTCGCGTTACACACCCAGAACGTGACAACTAACTTCACGCCGTTGTTTAGTATAGCGAATTTATTCTGTTCGCTCGCCTTACACACACTTTACAAACATTTGCACTTGCAGTGTTACAATTACTGCTTACAATATTCCGGCCGACACTGGACTCTCTTCTCTGGCGGTTATTCTAGGACTTTCTTCTAAGATGGCTCGATCACGACTGACTTCTTAGCTGGCTATTCCAAGACTGACTGTCGAATGCATTCAACCCCGCTGTATAACCTTGGTCGCTGCTATGTAACGAACCCTCTGTTATAGCGGTGGAAACTTTGCTTTGTCGGTTCCGCGTTTCCTACGCAATGACCCATTGTTATTGCGTTGTCTCTGTGGGAACGCTTCACGTATTCGTCGTAACCGTGGAGATTCCTGTTAGAACTACAGTAGAGCGAATGTTGTTTCCTATGCAACGGTCTATTCTAGCGTTTCCATAGAAGTTACTCTTTTGGATTGCCAACACGTTACAGTATTTAATTGCATTTTCAGTTTAATATGTATCTATTCCTATATAATTTTAACACTCCTCGATAGAGAATTAGACATTTCACCAGTCTGCAGTAAAGTTTGGGGTGAGCTAGGGAGCTGTGAAAAAATGTTGACATTTGCTTCACATATCTGGCAACCCTTTGGTCCCAGAGGTACTGTATGTACATTTTAATGTCCAAGTTATGTCTCCTATAGCTCTATAAAGTTATGACTACATGTTTCAAAACATTCTGCATACGTGGTGCAATCCAGAAGTTCCCAAAATATATTAATAAAAACTATTACAGTCAACTCTCGATTATCCGGGGGCTGATTAATCGGTTTGCGGCTTAACCAGTGCTACTGAGGCTTTTTTGAGGCTTATATGTTGTTTAATATTCATTCACTTTTGTTTCACATGGCGAGTTGTAACACTTTTCGCACTAGTGTGAACCGAGCTCTGCATTCTTTGGTCCCGTTATGCTAACACAATGTTCTAGGGTAGGGGTGAAAGAATGCAAGGTTTTGTGGAAAGTTTCAAGGACAGATACATTGCCCCAGTTAGTATCTTTGTATCGATCTTCAAGTGCGTTAGCAAAATGTCAGGGTGTAAAAGGAAGCGTGTTGTATTAAGTATTCAACAGAAAAAGGAAAATGCCGCAAAAAAGTAAACGACAATATTAAATTTTTTTAAGTGTTAAGTGTGAATATTCGTAAAAAGTGTTGGATGTTGTTGAAGACTGTGATTGAAATAACTAATTCATACTTCAGTGTAATGTAAAAATAGTATTAAATAGGCCATGAGATGACATAAAAATGAGGTTGAATAAATTTAAATACAGGTAGGCGTATAGTATTATGAAGGTACAGTATTACATACTACTTTTAATAAAATTTGTCTTAACTGGGTTTTCTGTTAATCGTGATTTCCATCCCCACCATTATCCCGGATAATTGATGACATCTTATGATTATAAGATGATAATTGATGAATGGATCCGTGAGAGATACCAACTTCTTGCTCCAACTCTGTGATGGTCATTCTTCGATCACAGATATTGGTCATTTAATGCCTTATAATAGTCATGCATGTAGCTGAACTAGAGGGCAGCAGGCATGCAGTTTAGTATTAAAGTTCAATAAAAGGAAGTCTTTTCCTTCAGAACCTTAGAAAGCTTCAAGATGTGTCAGCTTGTGCAACACAGTATGTTTACATTTATTATTATTGCAGGGCAGAAACAGTACGCAGTGCACTGGACGTGTTGGCTGTGTGCAGCTTGATGCCACGTGTGCAGTTGCTACTGTGTGATCGAGTGGATCTACCTGATGAAGCCATGACAGTAGGAATGAACATAATCCTGGGAGCGGCAGAGGGTGAGATCGTGACTGATGCTGATGTGCAGAGAGCTGCACTGGCTGTTATCATCAACTGTGTGTGTGCACCGATCCATAGGGTAGGGGGCAGTGTAGGTCGCTTCTCAGTTGCTGGTTCAGCAAAGAAGAAGACTAACAATTTCCGCAGCAGCGAGGAACTCATTGGCATGATGTGGGAGAGCGTTAGATCCAATAATGGCATTATGGTATGTTAGATACAGTACTCGTGTCATATTATATAAAGACATAAGTTCATCACAGTATTTGGTACTAGCTAAAACATAGATATTTGTGTATACAGTCAGGTGTGATAAAAAAATAAATAAGAGAGAAAAATATAAGGAAAGAAAACAAAATTTCCTGTGCTTGCTACTTCCTTCACACTGGTTTCTCACTTGGCTTATTCGTCATCCATGAAGATGGAGCTGGCGTTTTCCTCCAAAATGTCGGTTGACTTTCAATGGACTAAGTGGTGTTGTATCCCAGAAGGTATAACTTATCATGTAAACAGTTTAAACTTTACAAGATTTGAGTTTCTCACAGTGATGATAATGAATCTCCTGGGATATCAATGCCATGTAGTCTGTTGAATGTCAACTGATGTTTCAGACAAACATGTCACCTCTATCTTCAGGGTCAGAGAATAAGCCAACATGAAGCAGGTAGCAAACAGAGCAGTCTGCTTATGTAAAGCTTGGGTTTAAATAGGAAACAGAGAACTGCAAGACATTTTGTAAGTTTTCATTGGCTCTCCCGGAGAGCAGAGTGAACCAGCTGGAGACATGACAGGGATAACTACCATCAGTCTTGTCTCTTGATTTTACTTCTCTCATCTACCTACAGTATATACAGACATCATACACCTGACAGCTGATTTATACAATATTTGTATTGATCACAATACCAAAATGTTCTCTTTCAGCATTTCCATAATGTATGGAAATGTACCAACTCTCAAAGTTGTCAACATAATGCCCAGCATTCTCCACACCCATGAACTTTCACATGATTCAGTTGTAGAATTAACTACCACATGATTCAGTCATAGAACTGAGAAAGTAATACCCACAATATTAGAACAAAATTATTTCTTCTAATATATTCAGTACTCCAGACGAACTGAAAGTTCAAATATGTGCATCCCCACTTCAGCTGTATTAGCTGAAATATCTTTACAGTGTCTTGAGGACAATAACATATATAAATTACTCATAAAACACAAACTATTAGGATATTCAGAACATTTCAAGTATGTGGACATTTTTTCAGCATATATGAATACAACATATCCAATAGAGCACTTATATGTTCCTTATGCAGAACTGACAAAAACAGACATTGCATGACGCTCAATATGACAACTTGAAAGATCCACATGAATATAATAAACACAATAAATAATACAGTACAGACTTACATACAATTCACATAATGCAGTAAAATAAAATAACAACACTCAAAGATTGGGTTATATATCCATATTCAGGAAAAGAAATCGTACATCCTTCAAATGTTTTTAAACATACAAGCATAAACATAGCCTTTTGTACAACCAGTACAACAAAAAACAGGTACAATCAAAACTGCTAAAAGTAGTCAAATATAACAGTAGTGATGCATACAAAATTAAATCCCCAAAATCACAATTCTCATGATGAATTCTATAAGACATTAAAATGAATAGGACACTTATTGTCTGTAGTACTCCATACTTGTTTTAATTCTTCCAAATGAACCTGTGTCCATGAGAATGTATTCCCCTTCCTTAGCTGTATGACAACCCATACTATGTGTTGTTTAAACTGAAGAACATTTGTCCTTTCATTGGTGTTTGGATAGGTGTTGCTTCAGTTAATGATGGTCAAGACTCCAATAACAGATGCAGATTCTATCAGGGCATTGGCATGCCGAGCCCTGGCTGGGCTGGCCCGCAGTGAGACAGTACGACAGATTATTAGCAAACTGCCACTCTTTACAAATGGGCAGTTGCAAAGTAAGTAATTTATAAGCATTGCTTTATTATAGTTGCATTAAAATCCAGAATAAATACAGTATGTAAAGTAAGAAAAATAGTACCTTTCAACATGTGACATGTCAGTGCTAATACTCACTATAAATACAGTTATTTGTAACTTATTCAGAAGCTTTTGGTTGTGTAGTATTGTTCAAAGCACTTGTGTAGATGTGAAATGGATTTTAATGGATGTTTTGTGATAATACGAGGGTAAGTCAATAAGTGAGTTACCAATGGGTATAGAACTTAAACAAATAAGAATACTGATTTAAAAAATCCTTTTATTTCTCAACNTGGAATTTCGCAGCGTCTCATTGGTCTTGTTGGCAGTATGGGGACACGCATTGTCATGCAAGAGCAACACGCCTTTGGTGAGGAGTCCTGGTCGCTTCCGTTGAATGGCCTTACGAAGTTTCCTGAGGATGTTACAGTAGGAATCAGCATTTACGATTTCTCCTTGAGGCTGGAATGCGGTGAGCAGTATGCCTTCATGATCCCGGTCACTGCCTGGTTCCGACAGCCGCCCAAAGATTTTTATGCTGCTGGTTTTCAGGGGTTTGTGAAATGATGGGACAAGTGCCTCAATGTACAGGGAGATTATGTTGAGAAATAAAAGCATTTTTCAAATCAGTACTCTTATTTAAGTTCTATATCAATTTGTAACATACTTATTGACTTACCTGCATACATAGTCCCTTTCTGCAATTTCTTTGCTTTGCAGATAGCACAGGCAACATGAATGAATGAATGAATGCATAAGGGGTAGACCTAGACCTGCCCTTGCATCATCGCTGTCAATGATATATTGTGCATCCCCCTCTATTTCAACCCATTTGCAATCCTACACTTTGAATGAAGCGTAGTATCTTACTTACAAGGGTACCTTGGTAGTCACCTGGCTCAATAAAATAATAGCCCAGTTGGTAAAATCTTAAGTAAGTTACAGCCTCACTGCCACATAGGATGTGTGGAGCTAATTCATCTTTTTTTAGCCACCTTTTACAGATGGAACTATTTATTCAACAATCCCATTTTGAAGAGGCATCCTATCATAACTGATTTCTGTTCAGTTTTAACAGTTCTTTGGTTCTTCTGACAGAGAGCCCTTATAGGAATCCATTTAGCTGTTTGGGTCCTATTAAGGAGTCCCAAAATTGTTTATGGTCTCTGTTTGTCCAGTCCCTGACAACCTTGTTGGCAGTTCCTGCTGAAATGTGTCAAGCTTATTCAGGTTCTATGAACCGACATTCAGATCCTAAGTTTGCCAGTTGATCAGTTTTGTTGTCTTCGGTATCCTTGTGGCCCCTCACCCATATCACTTGAACTCTGTTACACTTAGCCAGTTTCACGAGCCCCAAACCAGTTTTGAGTTGATCTGGTAAGTGTCAAATGCTTTAAATGCAGCTTGACTGACTGAAAGAGCATAGATGTTTCTATTTTTGTAGTCCTTACCTAGATTCTCTGTTGTGCATGCCTTGATGGTATACACTTCTCCCTGGCATGCTGTGATGTATTTCCCAAGGCTGAAGCTAAGCCTCTGCCTTGTGCCACAACTGTACACTGTCTTGGAAGCATATATGTACCAGATTAGTCCCCCTTTCCATTCACTTCTGTCAGGGAAACTGACTGAAGGGTTTGCCATAGTCATTTCTTGGTATCATTTTATCAGTCCCAATCTGTAGGATGGGTTCTTTCGTGCCTTGAGTCAAGTAGGCGTGTCCAAAACCTTCAGATTTGAATTTCCATTGATCACTGCAATAGAGTCTATAAATTTCTGTTCTGACCTCTGCATCCAACTGCAAGTGCAGTGGGGGAGTCCAAGGAGAACCTCAATTGCAGCCATTTGAACTGTCCTCATTTCTCCAGTGATACCCAAGCAAGCCATCCTTTGCAATTTGCCAAATTCAACTCTGCTTATTCTGAATTTGACCATAGGCCACCATACAGTGACAGCATAGGTAACTATGGGTCTTACAGCCATGGTGCATATCAACTGTACCACTGTTGGTCTCAGTCCCCAAGTTCTCCCAAACATTCCTGTGCATATACAAAAGGCCCTATAGGCCTTATTGGTTACTTTGTCCAACTGCTTTTTCCATGTCAGCCCCTTGCCAAACATTCGTCAAAGATATTTGACCTCATTGGACAGCCGGATTGTTTTATTGAAGAGAGCTGGTTCCTTGAGTCCCCTAATATTCCTAGTGAAAGGTATTATTACCATCTTATTAGAGTTGATGGACAAATTTGTCCAGTCACACCACTGTTGAACTGTGCCTAGAGAACTGTTTGTAGGACCTCTGACACAGTCTGAGGGAATATTTTCTTGATTAGGATTGCAGTATGTAATGTGGTGAAACTTAGCAGTAAACTCTTTTGTTTCTTCCAGTGTTGATGAGAGATCCCATCCTACAGGATAAACGTATGGAGCATGTCAGGTTTCAGAAGAGTGCTCTTGAATTGATGGAACGTGTATCTGGAAAGACAAAGCCATCTGGTAATGAGCTGGAAATATCATTGGCAAATATGCATCGAGCAAATGTTGTTGCACAGACTCGTATCCAGTTCAATGACAGACAACTACTCCAGCTCATCAACCAGCATTTGGTATCGCGTGGAATGTTAGAGACAGCTTCTGCACTGAACAGAGAAGCAGGTCTTCCTGGTGCACCAATTAAACAGGGATCTAGTTCAAATTTTCCACCGTTCAGTTACCGATCCAATCTAACACCACCACCACCTCCTAGGGTGAGTATAATGTTTTTATTTTGTAGACCAGAACAGTGTTATTTCAGCATTAATCATCCTCATGTAACCATGTGATGCTTCAGTACACATTCAGCATTAGTTTCGGTTAGTTCACGCTTCACAGTTACAGGTTATATAAGAATATACACAGAAGACCTTAATGACACTTAACATACTGCAGCTGTAAAATTGTCTTGTCCAGTTGTCGAACTGCATTACTTTTATTGATAATTATGCACCTTATCTTTCACCTTACATTAAGCATTTTTTGACTGGTTTAGCATATAATCTATGTTTGTTTCAAAACCCATTGATGTTGATTATTACAATCCATTGTTTAGTTTTTAAGCAGTCTACAAAGTAAGAAAGAACACCTTTTGTGGAGGTAGGATGTGTCTGTCCATTTTTCTGTTACCTAGTATCAACACATAATCATTGAACAGTTTATGTACAGGGGGTGAACAAAATAATGGAAACACTAAGAAATTGAGAAATAAAATTTGTTTGTGTTGGCAACATTGAAAGAACTTCAGTTGGCAACACTGAATATTCTTCCATTTTATTTTGCACTCCATAGTGCTCACGTCAGTGCATTAGTGATTGTGCTGAGTAACACTCCATTTGAAAGAATGTAAAATAGGAGACTTGTCCGATTTTGAAATAAGATGAAATAAGATTTTGCAAAATCACAGAACTACTGCCGCAGAAGTGACAGCAGAACCGAATATTCATCCTGAAGACCCTGTTTCCACAAAAACTGCCCAGTATGAGCTTCACAAATCCTACATCCACAGTAGGGCTGCCATTGCTAAACCTCTGATTACTGAAAGTAATGCTCAGATGCGTAAACAATTGTGTCACAACCATAAAACCTGGACATCATGCAACTGGAAACACTTGTGACAGAGTTAGATGAGTCGTCTTTCATGCTGTTCCCTACATCAGGAAGAGTTTACAAATGGAGAACAGCCAAGGGAGCCTACAATCCAGAATGCCTGGTTCCAGCAGTGAAACACGGGAGGTTCTATGATGGTTAGGCAGCAATATAATGGTATTCTGTTGGTTCCATTATTAACCCTTCAGTGCAAAATTACTGCAAGAGATTATGGGGACAGGTTGGGTAATCAGGTGCATCCCATAATCCAGACATTATTTCCAAACAACGATGCAGTTTAACAAGACGACAGAGCCCCAGTTCACACATATGGGAACTGTTCGGTCGTGGTTTGAAGAGCATAAAGATGAACTTGAACATCTACCTGGCTAACAAAATCACCAGATTTGGACATAATTGAACCACTCCGGTCAGTTTTGGAGACAAGAGTGAGGAACAGATTCCAACAGCTCTAAAGCAACTTGAAAATGTTCTTCAAGAAGAATGGTATCCAGCAGTACATTGCATGCAGTAACAGGAGCAAAACACAACACAGAACACGATATACAAATGTATGTATGAAGAATGCTCACATAAAAGAGGATTTGTGTAATTCGCGTTTTTGAGTGCGACGTAGGATGAATCCTGAAAAGTTGTATTATTTAGAATTCATCGACATATATGACGAATACAGATTTTAGTCATTTTAGAATGAAGACATCATGGCATGCAGTACAATAGTTTAGCATGCATAAAGACACCTGAGGATGGCACATTAGTGCTGAAACATGTAGTGTGGAAGTGAAGAATAAGGTGAAAAGTGTGTACCCTGTAAGACGGTTAGCATAAGCCATAGGTATGAAATTCCTCTGGAGACTGTTTCAAACTTGTACAAGTCCATTCCAGGGAGGAATGCGACTGTTTTGAATGCAAAAGGTGATTCAACACCATATTAATGGAGAAATGTATATCGTATCCGTAGTGTTTCCATTATTTTGTCCAGCCCTTATATATATATATAGTTCAACATGAGAGAATTTCACTGAAAGTTGTCAGGCAATTCCAGTTTTGGTTAAAATGCATACAGTACTTTACATGAAGACCAACAAGTGTTTCTTTGTGCATCTGTGTCTGCCTACCAAGCCAGTGATGATGCGAGTCAGATGATTTCGTTTTTTGGAGAAATTCCCTTTATAAAGCAACAGTGCATGTCTCAATACAAACATTCACTGTCATTTCTGAGTTATTAGATATTAATGAAGTTTTATGTAGTTTGAATTTCATTATGTAATTTAGGCACTTCACATTCCTGTGTTTTATGTTCATATTCCATGTACAGTCTCCCCTGATCCATCAAAGTCAAACTGTAGCTTTATGTTGCAAGTAAATTTGAATATTTGGAGTAGTGTTTTTGGTACTTTTGTTTGGTGAGTTTCTGGAGTCGATTAGTGTAGTACAGCATGTGTCTGTGATGTAAGGTCCATTGTGTTCGTATAGTGTAATATGCATCCATGGAGTCTGATTGGAATAGTAGAATGTGTGTGCTTTGTAAGCAAGGGCAATATGGTGACATAGTTCAATATGTGTCCTTGAAGTAAGTGGTCTGTATATTAGATAAGTTGGATTATGATATGTGTATATCACCTGATGATGACCTTTTATGGTCAAAACAGATAGTGTATAACTAAAAATAAAATAAGTATTTATTGTAAGTTTGCATGACAGTTAATCTTATGACTTAAACATAAACACAATTTGGACTGCCAGTATGCTGGTTTTAGCAAAGGCTAAGGTACCAGGAAAGCCATCCACAAATACTGAGATTTGGAAAGCAGAAATTCTGGAAAAGTTGTGTGTGGATGCACTGAAATATGAAGTTTTCCACTGAGGTCAATGATATATGACTGTTACAGCCAAGAATATCAAGCTTTTCACCTGGTGCATCTGTCATCCACCACCATCACCATAGATCTGTGCCTACAAGTCAAAATTCATCGGTGGCAACTACAGCATCTCAGTTACCAGTAGCTGCAGCATCTGTTTCAAGATATAATGTAAACTTAACTTCAAGCCAACCACAGCAGTCAGCCATTGGAGTACCACCAATCAGATTCAATCTTACTAATTCACGGTTAGCTCTGAAAAATCAAATCATTTATAGCTAGACACAAAAGTTTACCCAGAAACAGATTTATTCAATTCATCATGACAAAATAAAGAAATACCATAAGCTGTATACTTTAATATAGAGTCATGTGCCTATAAAATGAAATTTCTATAACTCAGAATTTTTAAGGAGCAAGACTGGGTCATTGTCACAGATGTTTAGAGAATCAAATGAAGTCTGTTTCCAAAAAAAACTATATTGAATACATTCTCAGTCATGCAGACTGTAAATCTTTATAACAATGTTCTTCACGAACATATTGCTTGAAAATAACTCTACCTTTGATGAGCACAGTAATTTCATCTACAGCTAACATTCAGATTAATTGCAAAATTTAGCATAGGTGTCATTGAGCTCATAAAACAGAGTTGTAATTGTACAAGCCCTGTCATAGTTCATATCAGTCTGATATACTTGATTCATATTGTTGCAAAAAGTGTGGAAGTGTGAGTATATGAAAAATTAGTCATGTATCATGTTACCTTAAGACGGTGTATAGAACTGTTCAAGACTGAAGTGTAATCTTTCAGCCTGTTGCTGATGAAGGTATTATTATTATTATTATTGTTATTATTATTNAAGTAGGAAAAAGATAGACAGATAAATGTGTGGCACTTTCATTGATGGAGATTTATTGCTTTGAGGTTATTCTTTGTTTTATGTATTTATTTAAATGCCGGTAAATTTCTCTTTGTGCCTGAATGTTCAGAAATAAAGATTTGCTATAACCACATTCTCCATATTTGGAATATTTTAGAAGTTGTGCATGTTTTAAATTTTTAAAAGAAATAGATCAAGCATTTTTCAATATGAAATGTCATATGTGTTTCAGGAAAGTGCAGGGATCTGCCACTGGTGGTAACTGTAGCAGTCGCTCCTTACAGAAGCAGATCTCGTGTGAGCAGGGAAGTGTAATTAATTCATCTCCTCTTCTGAAGAATACATCGACAGTCACAACAGGATGCATTCCAGGGATAGGCGAGTCCCATATCACTCTTGACTCCATTATCACCGAGTATCTCACAAACCAGCATGCACTGTGCAAGAATCCCATGGTACCTTGTCCACAGTTCAATCTGTTTGAGTGAGTAGTTAATATTTTAAAATAATTATATATGTACAGTGGAGTGGCATCATACATGCATTTAACTTACACCAATTCAACCATATGAACTTGCTGCTCCCCCCCCCGAGAAGTGTGGGCGATTCTTAGTGGCTTGCCACTCAAGCACAGACTACTCCCAGATAGTGTTATTGGGGGAAAAGGAAGACTAACCATTGGAATGTCCAGAATGAATGGTGAGTGTTCAGGTTTACTGTTTTCCTTTTTTTATTTCATTTTTCATTCTCTCTCTTTCTGTTTTTATGCAATTAGAAATAAAATGACTGATGTTCTACTTTTGTATGTACTAGTTATTATATACATACATATTACAGGGTATATACGAAGTGTGTACCGTATGGGTGATGTAAGGAATTTTCGAAGGTAATTCTGACTATACATGCTGCCTTTATAATGTAGCCCCCATGTAGGATGTGACTCCACTGTATGATATTTATTTTTTCCATAGTAGTTTAGCAATAATACTGTAGATTTTCTCAATCATTGTCTTGTATTTTAATTTAAATATAATTATAAATGGTGGGAGTCCTCACACTTATGCCATAAATGCCAAATAGATGAAATAGTGATGGGGAAACATAATAAAGATTAGTGTGATGTTTCTATTAAAATCACATTTTATGAAACAGATTGTGAAGATGTTTCTGAATATGATAATAGCATTTATGTCAGCATGAAAATATGCATGATATAGTTTTTGGGGGGGGGGGATTAATGAGTTTTTGAATGATGGAAATTCAGCCAGTACAAAATAATAGATAATGTATAGAGTGCAGAAACTGTGTAAGCCCAGGCGTAATACACCTTCTTCAGAATTTGGAATTGACTGCTGTTTTTTCTGTGTGACAGTCTTCAGTTTACATTACATGTTGTGACATGTTTCATTGCACACGCACCCTGTACTTGTAAAACTTCATTGTTTAGGCCTAAAATATAGTGCAATCATAATGCTAATATGGTTCATGCATATAGTTGAAAATTTTGACTTTTAAGCAGGAATGTGCCTTAAAATTAAGTTATTCCTTGTTGGATCTGGTTTCTATTAGAATAGTTTGTATCATGCCTCTCAATTCCAGCAATCTTTTTTAATATTGTTTTCATCTTATATGAGTTAAGGTGCTTTAGCAGTAGTTACTTGTCAGTTTATTCATAGTCTTTCATGAACTTTAAGGGTATTAACTGTGTGTAGGTTACACTTTTATAGTCAGTCTTAAAGAAATNGGGTTGCTGCCACTGTCATTCATTTGTGACATTAGGACGGTAAAGGTTAAGAAAAGGTAAAGCTATCAGGCCATGGAGGCTCATACAGTTGTCAGATGTTGAGGCTGCCACATTTTCTAAACAATCGGTACACAAGTGACATTAAGGTTGTCACCCTTATGAGCCGGCTGCCCTTTATCCCCAGGAAGATCAAGTAAGACTCTCTTACTGTGCCTATAAATGGTATCTGCAGGTTACTGACTTACAAAGACATCTATAGAAATCTTGGATACAGTGAAACCCCATTTAAGGTTTCTTTAGGGGACAATGATTTTGAGGAATAAAGTGAGGAAAATCTTAAAGGAAGGAAATTTAATGATGGGATTATTGAATGAAGATTGTTGAAATTGGATATTAAATGAAGAAAAAACCTTAAAGTGAGAAACTTTAAATGATGATTACACTGTAACTACTTTTCCTTGGTATCCAAGCTTGATGATGGAACATTTCATTTTTAATAGAGTCACATGTTAAATTAATAAAACATAAGGAATCTAAACTGTAAAAATGTTTACATGTGTGTGTGTGTGTGTGTGTATATGGTGCGCGTGCATGGTCATGCATGAGTATACTTCAAACAAGGGTGGTAATGATATATTTTTCAAATATAGGCCTCACAAGTGCCCCGACCCTAAGGCAAAGAACTCCGCACCCACCAACTTTGCAATGAGAGTTGCTCGTCGGTCTCTGGCATTGGCAGGCCATGATGCATCCCGTCTGGATAGGAAGCTGGTTTATTCCCGCTTCTGCCCTGTGAGGACATTTCGGTCAGAAGATGATGGGTTCTTCACCTGTTGTGAATTCCTGGTGAGTAGTATAAATTGGAAAAGTCTTATGTTATCTGAAGGAAAAGATTCATGTGTTGAGAGCGATTCTCTGTAAAAGCTGGTAGATCTTATGGGTCATACTTAGAAACAGTAACATAAAATTCTCTGATGTACTTTGGGTCCAGTGTCAGCTTAATTTCTTCTAAATTTGGTGGACTCAGTTTAATACCAGTCCAGAATATGGTGTCTCAGATGTTACACCAAGTCCAGCCGAGTACCTGAGGGTTAAACACAAATTTGCTTATTTTTATCATTGTGTCTTTATTCTTTGACAGCCTTGTGACCAGTTCCTCATGATGGGGACATACCAAGGGGAGGTTAAAATGTTCAACTTACATACTGGTTCAGTGAGTATTAACAATGTATACATTGCAATTCTGTTTAAGCTGGGGCCACACGAGCGCACAAAATACGTCCATTACAACGAACATACTTTATGACGGACGTTGCCGAGGACACCACACAGTTGCAGAATGCGGTGCATAGTTTTTTGTCTGCAGTGGAGCCAGAAGAAAGCATAGCATTCATCTCTCTTGTTTATTTCTACAACGGACGTCACGACGTTCGTTACAGCGGATGCATTTTGTGTGCTCGTGTGGCCCCAGCCTTAAGGTTTCACATATTTGAGATTTTTTTTCATAAATTTAGTGCCAGTGAACATATAAAATAACACTCCTCTGCGAATGTCTGGACATCTAAATTTTAAACCAGAAAAGTGCAGCATTTAACATGAATTGCTATAAATCTTGATTAATAGGTTAAAATGTTTTTATATTACATTCAGAATACTATGCACATCCATGTATGATATATCAGTGGTTCCATATGCTTTTAAAACTTAATGTTGGTAAATTAATCTCTGAAACCTGTTCATATGATTGCATTGTTCGCACCATTTCCATTACCAATGAACTTATTGGACTCTTCTGCTGGCTGCAGTATTCATAAAGCTGGAGCATCATGACAGCCTGTGTTTCTATGTGGAAGGAATACAGTGCCATCACCTTCTATGATCTAATTATCATTATACTCGTATCTGCCAAAGTATGTGCACTCCAAGTTTCGTTTTCATCAGGAAATTATTGCATGCTTATAATTAGTAATTCATTGCCTTCTCTGTATGAATCATCCTGTACATTTCAAATTCTCTAATAATTACAGCTGCTTTCATGACAGCAGCACACTCATTTCCCACTCTGTCACTTTTAATTGCCCATGTACAGAACCATTGATAATGATTTTTTTCAGTATGTATGAGTCTGCATTCACTCATTTAATTGGCAAAGTGTGTACACAGTTGAAACAACTAGTACAACAAATCACAGCCTAAAGAATAAAACCCATATGGGGATCAAAACGTAATAATTTCCTCTTTGAATTGTTAACAAAGGAAATGGAATTCTTATAAAATTTGCCTGAGGTAGTCTAGATATTACTGTTATGTGTGAGAAAGTGATGAACATGGCTGTATATATCAGTTGGTAATAAAGGGATAAGTGGGGTTTTCACTGTACCTATAATTATAGGTCATTAAAACTTAAATTGTTTTTGTACTATTATAATAGTACAAAAACAATTTAAGTTTTAATGACAGTATTTTTCCATGAGAAATTAATTTAGTTTGTTACTTATCTGATAGTAATGGGGATAGACTGTATGGTGTTAATACGAGGGTTGTACTGAAAGTCACGAGCAACAATTTTTTGTAAAGTAACATGCTTTATTATTGGCAAACCAAATACACCACCTCAATCTACAGACCTTTCTTTATTTTTCCACATAATCACCACTTCTTTGTACACATTTCTCCCAGAGTTCTGGGAGTTTGAAAATTCCCCTTCTGTAAAATTCAGTTCCAGCCATCCGAAGACACTGACACACTGCTTTCTGAATTGCCTCCCTTGTCTCAAAACATTGTCCACGCAGCTGATCCTTCACAAATCCGAAAAGACGCACAAATCTGAGAAGATGGCAGTCGGAGGGTGCCAGATCAGGGCTATAGGAAGGGTGTGGAAGAACTTCCCACCCCATCTTTGCAATTGCTTCCATTGTGAGGAGAGCGTTGTCATGCAGGATGATGATGTTTCGTCCCGGACGTTTATCGCGCAATGCACGACGGAGCTTGTGCAGCGTCTGGACATAACGAGCAGCATTGATGGTTTGCCCAGGTTCCAGGAATTCGGCCAGAATAAACCCCTCTGCATCCCAGAAGACTGTGCCCATCACCTTCGCAGCTGATGGCACTGTCTTTGCCTTCTTTTTTGATGGAGAATGCAAATGGTGCCATTCCATACTCTGCCGTTTCGTTTCAGGCTCGAAATGGTGAAACCAGCTTTCGTCACCTGTCACAATACAGAGCAAAAAATCATCGCCTTCATGTCGATATCTCTGCAGCAGTTCTGAGATGATGGCTTTTCGCTGACCTTTGTGGTCTTCGGTCAATAACCACGGGACACAACGAGCACAAACTTTCCTGTAGCCCAAGCTTTCAATCATCCCCTTTACTGCACTGTGCCCTATTCCAAGTTTTTGGGCTATTGTGTCCACAGTCACACACCTGTCATCTTGAATGATCTCGTCTGCTCTTTCCTTGTTGTGTTCATTTGAGGCTGTTCAAGGATGACCGCTCCGAGGCTCATCTTCAATGCTGGTGTTCCCATCTTTAAAATGTTTCACCCATCTTCGAACACTGCTCGCACCCATGCACACACTTCCACAGTCACACTGAAGTCTGGTGAATTTCTGCAAAGGGGATTTCCTCTTTCACAAGAAATTCGATGACAGCATGCTGGCGAAATGACATCATTGTTGGCTGTTTTGTTAGGAGTGATACTGGTCACGTGATGCAAGCTATTGATGTCGCAAGACACTGAAGGTTAACATAACAGCTGGTTCCACCTACCACCATACTCTCTTTCATCTGCTGTTCCAAAGTTGCATGCAAAAAGAAGTTGCTCATGACTTTCGGTATGACCTGCGTAAGTTGCCAGAAGGCAGAAACTATACATAAATTTGTCCAGCAGTCTATCTTATCATTTTCATAGAATGGTTAAAGAATGAATAAGAATATTGTAACATATAGAACTAAAAAGTAGAGTTCCTGTTGTATACAAAGATAAACAATATAAAAAATGGTTAATAAGTTGGTATTAATCTCCTACTAGTATGTCCAAAGTTTTGAGTGATTTGTTTTGGCATGGCGGAGAACTGTCTGCTTCTTCCTGAACAGCTCTGTTATACACACAAGATGATTCCTAAGTCTGTTAAACACTGCATTAGATTTATTCGTTGTTTTATATTGAAATGATTTATCAGAATTGTCAGCTCTGTGTTGCTGTAGAAAAACTGGCCATGGATATCTTTTATCTTGCTGCTATATTAGTTGTTAAAAAAATGTAGTTCTGCTTAAAGAAAATATAACAATAAGGATTTTGCAGGAGGAAGCCACATACCAATGCCATGAGTCCTATGTGTACCATTTGCAAGCCAGCAGAGATCGCTCCCTGCTTCTCACATCTTCCACTTGGCGAAGACCACTTTCTGCGCTATGGAGCATCAACAAATTTTTTGAAATGAAGTAAGTATGCCTCTATAATACCCCTGTATTTAGAGCTAGCCTGTAGCAGTTGTGACACTGTAATTTATCTCTGCTGTTATACATAGTCCCATTGTGCTTTCCTTTTGTGTTGTATTTATAAATGTTGACTTAGCAGGGTTATTGTTACGTGATGGGACAATTATTTTAGTCATGTCCTATTCATGTGATCATTCTGACAACATGCCATTCATGCTGGTTCATTGTTTTGTAACCTCTGAAGTAGCAACTTTTGACTGAGTCTGAAGGAAAACCAAAATGAATGTTTTCTCATTGTAATTGGTGAGTGGGATGGGACTGCAATGGGAAGTTTAAAGCCAGGCATCAGCATGCATTTCGTATTATGCTAGTGGCAAAGTGAATGAAAAAGATAAATAAAAGTTCTCTTGCATGATTGTAGTTTTTTGTGGGGGGGACTGCCAATAGAAGTTTCAAATTCATTAACCTGCAACCTTATTGTGACACTAGTGGGAATGGGACCTAAATGAATAAAAATTTTTTCACCTGGTTGTAGTTTTGTGTGTGTGTGTGTGTGTGTGTGTGTGTGTGCACACACTTGCACCTGTGTGTCATATGTGATATGACTGGCCATATTTACAGCATGAGTGTATACAGTGAAACTTGTTTAAGGTTTCTTTGGCCCTCAATTGATTTGAACACTAAACTGAAGAATATCTTATAGGGAGGTAATTTAACAGTGAGATTATTGATTTGGGATCGTTTCATTTGAGTGCTGAGTGAGGGGAAAACTTATGTTAAGGAACATTAAATGGGGGTTCCACTGTGCTTGGGAAAGGATAGGCAAAATGCACTACATGCTGATGGCTACATATGCTGCAGTGAATAGACTTGTGAACAGAAGAGAAGGACTAGAGCTCAGTTTTCACTCCACATTTATTTGATGACCACCGCGTGAGCTATCAACTACCGTAGAACTGTTAGACAAAATTGTAAAGTGATGTGGAGGAGCCTTGAGAGTAAGACGCTAAAATTGGATTGGGGTGACGTCCTGGGGTGAGCGGTAACTTGATGGCAAGATATGTATATATTAACTGAACCATCAGGAGGAGCCATCATCTCTAATGATCTTGGAAAAGCAAGAGAAAAAAATCCACCAGTGTTGAAAACTGCAGTCAGCAGTACAAAAACAGTACATGCCTCAGAATGCTTGGCTACCATGGTTGGCATAAGGATCTACAGAGTGTAAAAATCAGTAGTTAGTTAGTTAGTTATTGGAGAGGGTGGGTTTCCCCATGCACTTAGACCTGTATTGGTCCATTGTGCTTCCCTCTATGATTTCTACCAGTTTCTATATCCTACCGGTACTGGTGCTTACCATCAGTCCCGCCCAGCCAGCGAGACCAGCTCTACTAGCTGAGAGGTATCTATAATGCTTCCCCCATCTACCAGAGGTATTAGAGACTGTTGTTGGGCGGGAAACATCCGTAATTTGGCTCAGTGACCTCCTTTGGAGATATTAGGTTCTTTTACATGCCGTAAAGCTACGACACGGGACCCACAGCTTAAAGTCCCTCCTGGAGGACTTGTTCCCTGAATTTTTCCGCCCTTAAAAATTCGATGACCTCCGCCAGGTATTTGAACCCGCGTACTACGAGTCATGAGGTGGGAACGTTACCTCTAGACTACCGAGGCCACTTATGTAAAAATCAGTATGACTGTTATAGTCATTTCTAGTTACAAGTTAAAAGGATCCAATAAATTCAGTTATCAAAGCAAACCCCTTGTTTTGTCACTAACATGTGACAATATGTATTTTTGTATTATCACCTATTACTAATTTGAATGTATAGATGAGTTTTTATGCACTTTAAAACTTTGTGAAATGTACTTCTGGCATTAAATTAAGGCCTAATTACTTGTGAGTTTGGTCTCAGCCCATTAAAATGTGTGCACTATAGTAACTTCAACTGTCAGTGGAGGTGTAGTTAGTTGTCCATTTGTAGATCCACTGAACTGACACAGATATTAGAGGACTGGCTCTAAATGCAAGCTTACTCAGTATATTGCCCATCTTTCAGTTAAGCCATGTTTCTAATGTGATGGATGTTCGCAGGTTTGCATTAGAAGAGGAGGAATATGTGGAGTTCAGTAAGCTCACTCAGGACCACATCATTGGGACCAAAGGAGAAATAGCTACGGTTAGTTTATCTGAACTTTATGTTACAAACAGACTAGGCAGTGTGATCAAACAGTTTCCAGACTACTTACAAGATGACACAGCTGTGGTTCAGAATTCCTCTGCTAGGTGGGGGTAAAGTAGAACCTGTTGAGTCATTTGCTATTCATTTCAGAGTTGTAGCTTGTGTCACTTAGAAGTAATACCCTGAGCAGGTTGGTGTAGTGGTAACACTCCAGATTTATATTCATGAGGTGCTTGGCTCAAGTCTCAGCCAGGTTACAGTCTGTCCTGGTTGAGGATTTTTGTGGTTTTTCTTAGTCCCTTCAGGCATTTGTTGGGTTTGTTTCCCAATTAAGCTAAGACCACTTCTTTTCTAATCCTTTCCAGTTCATCATTTATTAAGTGCCATACCAGTTAATGCACTATAATTTAGATACTATCATTGTCTCACAGTAAACCACAGAACTAAGAGGTAACACTTTGTGAAGTGAGGTTGTGTGTTGTGCCTTCTGCAATTTCATTTGTCAGAAAATGGCTGATTTCAAGGAACATGAGTTCTGCTGGAATCAATAATTACATTGAAAGAGAATTATCATTCTGTCTGAAGTTTTCCCTGAAGGTTCTGATGCACATCAACTAAGTTATGAGTTTGCTTATCAGTCAGAAGACTGCAACATGAATTTTGCAGAAATCTGTTTCATGTTTGAATATTGTGTCAGAACACTTTGGCATGATAACAAATGATATTCTGATCTTATTAGCCAAGCTGTGAATAGCAGTGTGCTTGTTTTCATGAAAAAAATTCCCGTATTTATGCTACATTTTCTTTTGTTTTGCTCATGGATGGCTACTCTGGATGTCAGCATGAGTAATATATGTTACTCCACTTTGAAGTTGGAAAACCAGTTGTGTCTTCGAGTTCTGTTTGCTTCTTCCTCTCTGAAAGGAAATTTTAACAGCTTATAAGATTCTGTAGCAGTTCTGCCTAGTTTGAAGGAAAACTATATGCTCACCCTGTGTCCTTTGAAACGTGCCATTTTCTGATAAAATGTAAATTACATACAGGGCAGCAAACTTCCTTGCTTCACAGGGTGTTACTTGCGACTGACACAAGCTAGAATTCTGAAATCAATGGCAGATGACTCAGCACATTCTAAAAGTTTTCCATGTGCTTGACTAATCAAGCATTGCTCCATGAAGGTGCCTGGGAGAGTGAATGTATAATACACATATTCTTCACCTTGGCACTAGTTGGAGGTGAGTGGATATCTTCACGCCCCAGCCACTTTAAACCAGAGAAAGAGCCCATTGGATAGGGGCTGGATGGGCCCAAGAAACAGTTGGGATGACGTGGAGAAGAGAAAAATCTTGCCTCTCCTGAGACTCAAACTCTGACTCCTTGGCTGTTTAGGCCAAATCCATTTGCTATACCAACTGTGGTGTCCTGGCTGCTGGTTCATATGACTTGTCAAATGTGACAGTTCATCTTCAGAAGTTATTCCTGTCACAGCATTGTAAATAACATTATGTGGTGGTACACTAGTAATCACACATACATAAAAAATTATTGTAACATTTGGCATTAAATGTTCGAATTTACAGGTAAGCCATTCAGCATTGGCTGAAAGTATTTAGTGTNGGGGGGGGGAGCATTGCAGGGTGTTATAGAGTGGAGTATTCTTCTTTTGGTGTTTTAATTTGAATTGTTTTCTGCCCCTTTAAATATTGTTTTCAGATCTATGATGTAGCCACAGGAAAGAAGATACTGACTTTGACTCCCCAGATTTCAAATCAGTACACCAAGAACAGGGCTACATACAGTCCTACAGATGAGTTCGTACTTTCTGATGGAGTTCTCTGGGATGTCAGCTCAGGCAAAGAAATCCATAAGTTGGACAAATTGAACCAAACATTAAGTGGGGTCTTTCATCCTAATGGCCTGGAGGTAAATGTAGTGATAGTACAATTTGATTTGCAAGGACACTCTTCAAGGTGCAACTTCATGTCGTGCTCGTAGACTGTTGGTGTGCTATATTATCACTTAACTAATTCTTTAGACAAATTAAAATAATTTTAACCAGTTTTAATGAAGTTTTGTAACAGTGAGCTAGAAAAAGCAATGCATTGAAACAGTTACATAGAAGTATGTACCTAAAGATGACTTTATAAAGTCAAAACAAATCATACAAGTAACCCTCATAGAAAATGACAACATAGCACACCAACAGTCTACAAGCACAATGAGAAGTTGCACCTTCAAGATTGCCTATGCAAATCAAATCATTAACCAGTGCAACAGCTGAAATGTAATAATACAGTGGAAGTCCCATTTAATGTTCCTCAATTTAAGGTTGTCCCTCTTTTGAGCTCAGTTACAGTGATCCAGAGTTAATAAACTCAGTGTTAAATTGTCTCCTTTTGAAATTTTCCTTAGTTTAGTGATAAAATCCACAGGTCCCCAAAGAAACCCCAAATGGATGTTTCGCTGTACATGATGCAAGATGTGCCATGGACAGTGTCCTTTGGCTAGAGTAGATGTATGTTTACAATGTATCTGAAGCTGTCTCAGTCTTCAATTAGAGAACGGGGAGGGAATGGAAGTATCTATTCAGTGAGGCCCAACGTATAAGCCTAGTCTTTATTAAACATGCATTGGTAATATTCAAGTATTATCATTACAGCAGCATAGTACAGTGAAGGCCCTCCTCCTCCTCCTAATAGAGCTCATTTGTTCTAATTTCTTATATAGCATTGTACAAAATGTGTTATGTGTGAAGTTTTTTGATTTTGCCTTTGTTTTCAAAAAGTAACGTGTCCCTCTCCTGAAATATATATGAAATTACATCTTTCGTCTGTTATTAGTTCTCTTTATGGTCCACAGTTTACTGCCGTCTACAGTACTCAGTTTTCAGTTGGAATGATAAAGCTGCAGAATTTTCATGGAGATAAATACTGAAACAACTAAAATTATATCTTTCACTGGAGGGGAACCAGTTAGAGGCAAGATGTGATATTGTGGTGTATAGACTCACTGCTAAGTGGTGACTCTGTAAGCAATAACCATTCCTAGGCAATGGCTTTGTAAACATGTTCCCGCAGCAATGAATATGCATGCAACAGTAGTGTTACTGTTGGCAACACGGTGTTTTCTATGTGGTCCATGCCAAGATGTTATAACCAGGACAGTTGGAGCAGTGAGTTCAGTTGTGGATAGTATTAGCTGGTGGGCAACAGCATGAGCACAGAAGCTGAAGAATGTGCATCACTGAGAGCTGTTACCAAAGAGCAACTAGAGAAGACTATGAAAGACTGAGGCTTGTTGTGTGCTGTAGTGATTTGTAATGTGTGTAGATCAGTGATAGTGCCATAATTGCTAGTAGTTCCAAGTTGTGTGCATAAGTGGTCCATAAATCCATTCGCCAATCCATATCCCATCTATAGTAACCCCTAAATCATGACAGTATGATACTTGAACAAATGAATACTTTTAATTATGAAGGATAAAGTACAGCCTATGAAGCTGAAAGGGATTTTACTTAAGCAGTTGGTCCCTTAAAATATTTGGAATTAGATACTCAAACCATCATTAGTTTCTAGGTGTAGATGGATATGAACATGTAAGACTCTTGCTAGACCATTATCTTTTGTTAGTAAATCATGGACAATGAAAAGAACTGATGAGAGAAGATTAATACTAGCAGAAATGTGTTTCACAAAGTGTGCTGGGGGATGTATCCTCTCAAGACCATGAAATAACTGTAGAAATTGCAAAAGATTAGCAAATTCCATAGGTAATGGAAATCTGAGAACAGTGTAGAAGAAGTTGGAATGAATGTATTTGACAGGATTCTGAAAAGGATTTTAAAGTATCAGCTGAAACAAAAAAGAAGTTTTGAAAGACCTCAAAAATTATGGAATGATGGTGTTTTACAGTATGTCCTTTAACAGGTCTCAGTAGGCCTAATACTCAGAAGGAGGAGGAGGGTGACAGTGATAACAACAACAATAATGACTTAACTGCCATATAATAATCATGCAACAAAGCTGTAATGAATCTTAATTTTTAGGGCTAAAGATAGTTTGAAAATGGGGTGTATAATACCAGTTGTTTTGATTGAACCCATAGTATTTACATTCATATTGTTTTCTCATTCAGAAGAAGTTGACATATGGCAATATTTTAAAAATATTAGTGAGATTTCATTCGTGGATCTGAGGCATTGGGTTTAGTGTAAAGAATCCCTTTGTGAATTGTATGTTTACATCTTGCAATTCATATTTCTCATCAGAATTCCTCCTCCAAGTTGCATAATTACTATTGTGCATTGATTCTGATATGAAACGAACAATTGAATTTATTATCCCTTTCAAAAAATAGGGAACTGTATTAGACTAAATTGTGGTAGTCTTTGGCTCTTGAGACCATTATGTCACAGAAAATACACTTTAAATAGTTTTATTCGCTGGTGGTGATTCCTGGATTAGACTTCCTCCAATATGTGGCATGGTAATTTGATTCTAGGTTGTGTCAAATACTGAAGTGTGGGACCTACGCACATTTCACCTGTTACGAACTGTGCCTGCACTAGACCAATGCCAGGTACTGTTCTCTCGTGCACGAGCCGTCATGTATACAGTGTCACTGGAGCAAGAGACTGAAGAAGACACAGCCTTTGAGTCATCGTTCAAGACATTAGATGCTTATGACTATTCTAGTATAGGTAATTATGTATTTTCTTATTTATATTTAAGATACACTGTGAATCCTTCTTAAGATTCTTTCTAAGAAATGAACAAATCAAGCTCATGAAGCTGTAATATTTCTTAAAAGATAAGTTTCGAAAACCAATTTCAGGTTAATTATTTTTCACAAGGAATTCCTTACTTCTGTTAAGATTCACTTTAGTAATGTATTGTTGTAAAATCAGGGTAAATTATATACATGTTCACATTTTGTCGTCAGGTTGCATCGATGCAGTATAGTCTAGATATTGACAGGCTTGTTAAATAAACTACATTAAGGATTTAGAATATGGAACAATATGGTATGTTTATATGCTGCTAAATCTAGGTTCTATGGTTTATTTCATGATGCTCTCAATAACTCAGATATTACACAATGTCAAATAAAATAAATCCTCAGGAGATGTAGCAAAGTTCATATATGTTGGAATCCATGAAGCATGAAATGGTTTAATTATCATGGTTGCATTTTGAGAATTTCTTAGATCATGAAAGTGAAGGTGGAAACAAATTTTATCATATTTTTCTGGTGTTTCAAGGTTTTGCAGCAGTTTAAGATTCACAAACAGAAAACTGCTTTGTGTTGAGGGGAAGTGGTGGATGTCTCCCAATATCACAGAAGTTATTATACAAAGCATAACACACAAGACTTGAGGTTTTCATGGCAGTGACTCTGAGGAATACTGTCGCCTGGGAAGTGACACTGTGTAGATCAGAGTAACATGCCACATTCGTCTTTGAGGCTGAGGAGTAAATATTTGCCGTCTTGATTCAAAGGTTTTCTAAGCTCAGACCTTGCACTAAGTACCCTTCCCGTACAGGTTAACTGAGATTTTAGGTCTCACAGCGGTGACTATGATAGTGCTGGGAATCGAACCTGAACCTCTGGATCTGTAGCCAGGAACTCTAACCACTAGACCACAGAAGCTGACTTTGCCAACAAGCGGCAGTCACTCGGTTGGTATAGTTCGCTTGCGGACTAAAACCACGGAGTTTATTTTTAATAGCAAATTAACTATAAGAATATATTGTTTTTCTTTCTTGCAGCCACCATTGATGTGAGGAAAAATGTCTATGACCTAAGCTGCAACAAATTTGACACCCAGATTGCTGTTGTAGAGAATCAAGGAATGTTTGATAGTGTCCAGGAGTCATCTGTTCGACTTTATGACGTGGGAAGAAGAAGGGATGATGAAGACGAAGGGGTGAGTTGGAATTACATTCTGTTTCATAATAAAGAAACAGAATTGTATAGGCTGGCATAAGAAATTATCCCTCATTTAAACTTTGCATGGTAATTGTAATCACAACTACAAATTTGGTGTATGTACACAAGCACAAAGACAAAGAAGATTTTTCTTAGCAGAGTACATTTTTAGTATGGTTACCATTCTGCCATACAACTTTTAAAAGACAAACATGTATGTTTGCAACTGTGCAGTGTCACATGTCTTCTGTAAACTGCCAATACAATTAGATGACTCTATCCCTAAGACCCATTAATCAGGCTATTTTAGGAACAGCTTTTCTTTCATAAATCTCGAAAGAAAAAGGTTGCATGGAGTAATGCTCAGACTGTTGGATGGCTAGATCCTCCCTTATGTATGACAATCAGCATACTGACCAAAAATCATATGTGGCGCAAAGATTTCATGGTAGAAGTCTGACATAATTTTCGATGTGTGTGGCATGGCCCCTTTTTGCATAAATCATTGTATGTTTATTGACAAACCAGCTGGAGCAAGTTGAGGCATAAAACTGTCACTAAACATGTTGAGGTACCTCTTAAGGGTTTATAATTTTGATCAAAAAAGGACATTACCATTAGACCATATCACAATATGGCAGCTCACACTGTGATCTTAGCTGTGCAGTGCATGTCTCTGTCAACACTCTTTTATATTCTGCAGCCTAGAATTGAACATTTTGTTTGTCCATTACTCCATTGAGATGGAAATGTGCCACATCCAAAAATGTACATTGTATATTTGTTCAGCACACACATTGAACTCCAGTCTCTGTTGTCGGACTCTTGCAGTGAGTTTGTGCAGTACAAGCATTGTCTATTGGAACATGTTCAGATCTATAGGTTATGCTTTGCAGAATTCCCGGATGTTGTTAATTGTGTTCAAACTTTCCTTTTTCATTTTCCTAGGCTTCATTGCAGTGCAACTCTGACAGCATTAATGTTCTGGGTAGCACCCATGCTTGTAGCTTGGAATGCTTTCACCCTAAAATGAGCATCATATCATCTTTCTGTTGCAACAGGACTTTTATTCTTTGTCAAGGACAAAACAGTTTTCGCCCTGCTCAGCAGTTATTCTCCTCTTGTTTGCCGGCTTGGTAACTGAAACTATACATCCTTTTGATAGCAAAGTGGTAATCACATCCTCCCAGTGGGTTCTCTGTGCAGTAGGCCATTCACCTGCACAGTAACTGTTTACATTGAATTTTTATGTACGAAGGGGGACCCAAAAATAACCGGAAATGACCTGTTGCGCGCGCATGCTTTGTAGTTACGAGTTGTGCTGCTAGGTGGTGTTAGCTGGGGGTCTCCCGCGACTGTTAGTGAGCTGGCGTCAGTCTGAGTTAAGTGGTTTGTCTGTGGTGCGTTCCTGTTTCAACCCTTTGGCAATTAGTGAGATGGCTGACCAGAAGGAACAAAGAGCANTTTCGACGATCTTCATCAATTTCACGCACACTCTTTGTTCCTTCTGGTCGGCCATCTCACTAATCACCAAAGGGTTGAAACAGGAACACACACAACAGAGCACCACAGACAAACCACTTAACTCAGACTGACGCCAGCTCACTAACAGTCGCGGGAGACCCCCAGCTAACACCACCTAGCAGCACAACTCGTAACTACAAAGGATGCGCGCGCAACAGGTCGTTTCCAGTTATTTTTGGGTCCCCCCTCGTATATGGAATATCATCACAGGCGTTTAATCTGTTGTTGTTCGTGGATTTTAAATTCAGGAAACTGTTCTTAGATATATTCTTGAAATATATGACTATTATAGAAAATGTTTTCAGATTTTTGTGTAAACAGTTTTATCATTGTATAAGTTATATGATCATTGTTCTGATACTTTACTATGAAGTAAATAAATTATTTACATGAGAAACAAGAGAGATCACCTGTTATAATAATAATCCAAAACATTTTTTTTTATCAACACTTGGCACTCTGTCAGTGAGAAATGGACTATAAGAAATTGTATTTCTTACTGTATGCTTCAGTTACATAATGTAAGATGTTTATATTTATTTGCATCTTAAATTTCAGGAAGAAGATGAAGAGGATGAAGATATGGATGGAAGTGAAGATGGTAGTGGCTCTCCTACTGCTTCAGAAGATGAACAACAGGAAGGTAATGTGCACAAATTGTATATAAACACTTGCTTAGTTGATGTACCATTGGCAGAACTTAGGATGCTTGTTTCTCTTTGTGTCCATCCTTCTATCTGGCTACCCCCATAAATGTTATAACCAGTGGAGACATTTTCATGAAACATGGTATGAACATCATGCCATTGAGGATCACACCAGCTTTTTCGTTATAATTTCCTGTCATTAACCCTCCTCAAGAGAATTTGATACTTCTGTAGTACCAGCTGATTGGGAGAATTTTGTGTACAACTGGTGATGTTTTTTTACAAAATTTATTTTGGAAAGTAAATTAGAACTACAAGATTTATTTCAAAAATGAAATTAGAACAAGGAAAATAGCATTTTAGATTTTTGGTGGCCAATGTTGTTTGTTTCCAAAATATTGTAGAAAGGATCTCTGTTGTTGGATTGACTTCAGCATATAAACTTAACCAGATTATGATGTATTATGCCCCTTTGCTTCTTGTTTTGCTCTTCACCAGATCAGCCAAATTTTATTGGGGTTGACTTTCAAATGCTTAAAACTTGCATTCTCCAGATCCTTCATCTGGTGTCTGCACCAACTATCTGAATAGGTGGTTGACCATTCTTGAACATTGTCTACCTACCTTCATACCTCCCTACCCACCCACGCACCTTCCCACCTACCCACCTGCCCTCCTACCGTCCTACCTTCCTACCTCACGTTCATCACTTCTGTCATTATTGTGATGGCAGGTTCTCAATGTTCTTTTTGCACAGAGGCTTGAGTTTGCATTCAGCACAAATCCATTTTCATTTCTGGCATGTGTTAATGCAAAATGTAGCCTGCTCCCTGTTAGTAGCTCTAAGCACTAGAGAGTCTTTCCAAAAGAAGCTTGTGTTGCATTTACATATGTTCTGTACAGTGTGTACTGTATTAACCCATAATTTGCCTGTGTGCAGTGTTCCTACTTTCTTCCCTGAACTTCTTTATTCAGGTGAGGTGCCTGTGATGCCAAGACACCATTTCTTGTCTCAGAAATGGAGCTTGGCTCCATTTCCTCCATAAACAAGTCCAAGTTCTTTTTAAAAGAACCTAAAGTGCGGATCTTTTAAAATTCAGATGTTCAGAGTTGTTATTTACCACTATGACATCAGGACTGAGTGTTGGCTTCTGGTTTCTAAAACAGAAATTATGAACTTTTCTGCACATGCCACTTGTAATTAAATTATTATATTCAATTTACTGACTCTTCACTGTGGTTCATTTTCTCTCCCTTTTCTTCTTCCCTGATACCAATGGGCCCTGAGCATTTTTAGAGCAATATTGTAAACTAAGGCTCTTGAAATGCCTGTAGCTTGAACAGTTTCATTTTCAATCCAGTTCGTGCTTTTCTGAGGAAATTACTTTTAGTGTGCTGGTAAAACACACAAAACCATCATTCTTTTCACCTTGCATGAGAAAATAAACAGCACATTTACACTTCATAGGGCATGGCTCCCATGGAAGCAATAGCCTACATGGTCCTGTAATCAACACCTCAGTTGGAGAATCTGAATTGTATATACAACAAGCAAAAGTTACACTTGAAACTATTTCTGGTGCCATTTTCTGAATTTATATGTTTTTGTGGATCCCAGACAACAATGCAGGTGATGGTGATGGTGATGGTGCTGGTGCTGGTGATCATAACGCCAATGCAGATGAAAATAATCGGGACAGTAATGCTGCAGACAGTAATAATGAAGATGATGGGGATGATGTAGTCATGTCTGATTCAGATGATGACAATGATGACCCAGCTGCTATTTTGCTGTCGGACAGTACGGATACAGATGACATGGAAGACATATTGTTTGCTTGAACTGTGTTATTTGTGAAAAAGCTTTTCATCTCGCTACAAGGGATCAGTGACTATCAGAAATGCCACACAAGTCAATATTCCTGCCTGTGAAAAATTATTATTATCTCCTTTGGAGCAATATGTTGCAGAATTGTTTCAAATGTGGTTGTAAAAATCTGTCTGTGATCTGGGTAAAACTTCATAGATTCTTGCTATTATAACTGTCATTTTTATTTCTTTTTACCTTCATTATTTGTTTTGTGTCAGTATGTATAAGAAACTTTCAACAAGTAACAGCTCAACAGTAATATGTTCCCCCCCCCCCAGTCAGTGGAATCAGAGTATCTCTCATTCTGCCAGTTTCACTGTATAATAATTTTGCACTATGTTGAAAACCTTTGAAGACAAGCTTTAGTGCTTTAGGAGCCCTGACATCCTAACATCATATTAGAAGTGAACCCATAAAAATTGTTGTACATAGTACAGTTAGGGATATCAATTAAAAAAAAATGGATTTTGTATCATAATACTTGCTAACCTTTGGTATGAGCATGAGCATACAAGATGGCTGTGCAATGAATGATTCATTTTACTTACATTTAGGTTGCCAGTGTGTAAATCTGTTTGTCTCCCATATGTATCCTGTATAAGCTGTAATCATTTTAAGGTAATATTTTGTTATGTTTCCATATTATTGAGTTTGTCATTCTGATTAACAATTTATTTCATAGTTATGCAAGAAGAAGGCCACGCCATAGCTCAAGCGGTTAGTCGCTGGCTTCCCATTGCGACGGCCCAGGTTCGATCCAGGATCTGGTCAAGTGGGATTTGTGGTGGACAAAGTGGCACTAGGGCAGGTTTTTTCTGAGTACTTTGGTTTCCCCTGCCAATCTTCATTCCACCAATTGCTCCACAGTCACCCTCACCTATCATCTGGGGCTGGTACAATAGGCCAGAAATGGCTGCAGTACAAGGGACTTAGTCCCACCCCACTAGCAATATGCAAGAAGAAATGATAAATACACACTAACACTGAGATACAGACATGTGATCTTGATTCACAAAAAAATAATATTGCTCAAATTTTACTTTATGCTCATCAGTTAAAAGTAGGCATAGTGATGTGGGTAGTTCAGTTGAAACTTTATTCAAGAACAATTAATATGAGTATGATGATGTTTGAAACATGAACACATGCTTTCATTTTGGGGTTTTCATGGTGGTAATTATTCAGACTTTGGTCTTTTGGGTTGTTACACCATCTGATCTAATGAGTGGATTTCACTGTTTTGGAGGAATATGGTGCCTCCATTTTGAGAGTTGAAGTATATAGGGTGAGGAACAGTAAGTTTATATACGCACGTTACAAAGAAAACATCTCTCTCTCTCTCTTTTTTTTATGCTGGATAGACGAGTGCTGTTACAGGAGGAAGTAACTACCTTGTTCTTTGAAAGACCTTTTTCCTTTCTTACATGGAGTGAGTAAGGGGCTTCCATGACTTGCTAAAGGAGAATCCATCCTCCCTGTTAATGTTGTGAGGTTGGATAGCCATTGATATCCACCTATGCAAGTTAAACAAGAAGGATGGGATCTCTTTGAGCAGGTTGAAGAAGCCTCATGTCCACTCCCTAAAGTAAAGGGGAAGATATGTGCTTCTTCTTGACATTCTTCTACCAAAGGCTACCAAAAAAGTGGGGGGAGCTGTTTCCTCACTTCCCAGTTCCTGTTCCCAGCAACCCTGAAAATTTATCAAAATTCTGTTTCACTCCTGTTACGATAAAATGATGATTCTGAAGAGGACCATTTTCCTGTTCAGTATCTCTATTAGCCCAAGACTATATACTGTCTTCTATCTCCTGCTTTTGAAGCTGTGTCACCATCTTCCTCACAAACTGTGTACATAACTTAGTTGATTCCTCACTGTACATACTTCGACCTTGAATATGAGACCCCATGTTCCCTTGAAACATCCACTTTCAATACTATATGGTGTCACAACCTGGAATACCACAGTCTGAACAAAGTCCTCAGTCAGTGTGTTTGAACATCATATATCGACATCAAACATTTCACAGGTTTATTATCCATATTATTGGTAAGTGTCTACTGCAGTGATAGTGAGGGAATGAAAAATCTTACATTGTGCTGTTAGTGCAAGTATCCTCTTGTAGCAAATCCTTTGGGTACACCAAGTGCAGTTTGCAGTTTGAGGTAAAACTTAATTCATTGAATAGCTTTGCCACTGCAGGTAGACCTATTGAAGTTTCTGTGTCTTTCATTCTCTCATTTTGCCATCTTTATTCTGTTGCCTCACTAATTGCTCTCTGACTCTGTGGCTTATAAAATGAAGCAACTCAGTATTAATTAATGAGGCTGAAATGATTTATAGTTCTGGTTATTAGAGTGTTCTATGGTTTTTCTGTCCCTCTGTGTTCTCACACATTAAATCAGATCATACTGTTCCCCAGCCTTTCATTCTTAAATTGTGCTAATGTATGTCATCATATACATAAGCCTCATAACAAGATTCTGAAATACAGAAACAAAACATTTGACAAACAAGTACAACTTCCCGTTATCTCTTTGATATAAATGAGTCATGTTCAAAAACATGTACAGCATGACCCTCTTAGCCCTTTCTAGGAAAATAACGCATGTTGCAAGTTACATGAAACATTGCTAAACTACTTGTACAATGAAATCGTTGTGAAGTATCCATATACCTGTGCAGATCTAGAGTCTAAATTTATCACTGCTAAACATTCTCTTGAAATAATGTTAATTTCATACCTTTCACTGTAAAATCCCAACATTCATTGGATCCTGAAGGTTCTTTAAGATCCATTTTAACATTGTCCTCCCATTTGTGCTTAGGTTTCCAGCTATTCTGTTTCCTCAAGATTTTCCTACATTGCTCTCCTCTCCTATGTGTGCTACTTTCCCAGCCCATCTCATACTAGAGATAATAATCCTAGTAATATATGGTGAAGAGTAGAAATTATGAGGCTCCTCAAGCATGTCACTTCATCTGAGGTCCAATATTAACCTTGGTTCCCTATTCTCAAATACGGTCTGTGTTCTTCCCTTAATGCAAGAGACCAAGTTTCATACCTATACCCTACAAGAGGAAGCTTGGTACATTTTAATCTCTGTGCTTTCAGAGAGCAGAAAGGAAGACAAAAGATTCTGAACAGAATTGTAACAAGCTTTCTCTAAATTTGATCTCCCCATAATTTCTTATGAATATGATTTTAATTTGTTAATATCATTTTCAAGCATTTGAACTTTGCTTCATTTTTCAAGTTAGCTCCATGTGATGGTTCTGTCATTCATTTGTTTGACAGGATATGAACCTGTCATTATTTTTATCCATGTTTTATGTATTATAATACAAAAAACATGGATAAAACAAAAATGTGGTCTTGGGCCCCACCAAAACAAAATGGCTGGCTGACTGACTGTTGGTTGTAATGTGACTCTGAGTTGCAATAGGGGTATAACTGGGTCACCATGTTCCTGGGAGATATAAATATGGGGACCTGGCCCTCCAGGTGGGGTGAGTCTCAAATCTGAAACAGTAAAATATGGTCCTGAGTCCCGTGGGGCTCAGATCTGAGAATGACTGTTCTGGCAAGCACAAGCAGTTGTAAATGACAGACCTGTCCTCTCGTCAAACCCACAACTGTCCGATAGTAACAAAAATCTGGTCTTGGGTCCTGGATGGAGCTTGACACCAAGATAGACTGGCCGACTGACCATTCGTAGTAACATAACTTTGACTCTGACTTCTTAAGACAGTCTTGAGAGGGAAGTTAGAAGAGTGGGAGATTGGTGTATGAGTATGATGGCCACCAGCCCATGAGGATGTGAGCCCAGGAGCAGAGGAATGTCCACTGTTAGATGTTATCCAGCAGCATACTGAAGACATGACTTGTGTGTTTAAAGAGTCCAGTAAATCCAATAAGTAATCCAAAACCCATCTATCATCACTCAGTCACGCAACAACATGCATTAAGCCAGGCAGATTAGCTCATGTGATAATTATCACATTAAGAAGTCAGAGTCAAAGTTATGTTACTACGAATGGTCAGTCGGCCAGTCTATCTTGGTGTCAAGCTCCATCCAGGACCCAAGACCAGATTTTTGTTACTTTCGGACAGTTGTGGGTTTGACGAGAGGACAGGTCTGTCATTTACAACTGCTTGTGCTTGCCAGAACAGTCATTCTCAGATCTGAGCCCCACGGGACTCAGGACCATATTTTACTGTTTCAGATTTGAGACTCACCCCACCTGGAGGGCCAGGTCCCCATATTTATATCTCCCAGGAACATGGTGACCCAGTTATACCCCTATTGCAACTCAGAGTCACATTACAACCAACAGTCAGTCAGCCAGCCATTTTGTTTTGGTGGGGCCCAAGACCACATTTTTGTAGGCCCAAGACCACATTTTTGTAGACTTTTGTAAAGACATCTGGTCCTTGTTATATAAACCCCAGCATGGAACCCACAGTAAACACCTGTTCCCATAATTCCGCTATTGTTGCATTGCTTCTGTCATCACAACAGCCATGTGTCACATGACATTTACAGGGGTGTTCCCTAGCAACAGCTGTCTCTACTGGCTTCACACTTTTGGCTTTCAGCAGACATGACACAATGTGTATAACTAAGAAGTGTAATACATTTAATAAATAAGAGACTTTTAAGGAAATTAACAGATCCATTATAAAACAAATCCTCACACTTTTACACATGTTTAAAAATGTTATTCTTTTTAATCGAAAATTAAATTTTCTCCCATTTTCTTGGCTCTTCTAGCTGGTCTGTCTGCTGTGATAAGGTTGTGGTATCTCAGTAACTTCATGTCTGGTAACCCACTGCCCATATGTGCTCCCTGCAGTATGCGCCTCAGTGTGCGACACATTTTAGCAACTGCACTCTGTACAGTAGACAGCGTTGTTAAATTTACTTGTCACATGCTGTGCATGAAATACTCAGTGATGACCCCAATATATTCTCCAGTTTTAATCTTCATATGAGAAAATGAGATCTATCATCTTTTATAAATTTTACCTGCAATTTTAAACTTGTGAATGGGGCCTGCTCCACTGATCTAAAAAAAAACTATGTATGCCATACACACACACACACACACACACACACACACACACACACACACACACTGATTGGTAGACAGGAACGAATAGCCTCAGCAGCTGAAGCCAAACAAGAAACCAGCAGGTGACATCTTCCTCAGAAACTTCATCTGACTTCAAACAGGCTATATGTTGTTATATCCTGAGATTTTTCGCGGTGGTTCTCACTCCCTCCACACAAACTCCGTGACAGTTCTTCGATTTAGGCTACAACCACTTCCTTACTTATCCTTCCCAATTCCTTATTCATCATCCTGCTATTCAGTGTTATATAGTCTTGGTGTTGATGCCATCATAAAATAACTGACACATAAAGGAAGATGATAGGTTGGGCATGTAGTGAGCATGTGCACATGCTAGAAGGCTGGTGTAGGAATAACTTTCTAAATGTATATTCAGGACGTACTTGGTTCCAGCGTCGCTCAGGACGTGAATTAGGTTATGAGGCTTTCAACACAAGTACCATGATAGTGCCTTAAGAGCTTCCTTTCTAATCGTTTGCAATTTATTATTCACCAGTCACTTTATCATTTTACGCTATATAGTTTAGATACTGATGTCGGTATAAAAAAACAAATACATTGAAAATACACAATCCCAAAATTATAGTCAAAAAAGCTGAAGAAAAGAACTGTTTCACCTTTTGGAATATAGTGCATTATAATTATTCTTTGACCTTTAGGATGGAGGCTACATATTCCTCCTAAACATCTTTTGACCTTCAATGGACTACATGACATTATGTCCAAAAAGACAGAACTCTTCATAACCATCGCTGTGAGAACCTGAAATCACACATACTAGAAAGGAGAGACCAGTTGGGAAACCTAGGCATAAATTGGAGAATAGTATAATGGATATTGAAGACATACAATATGATGGTTAGAACTGGATTAATCTGGCTCAAAACAGGTTTTAGTGAAGGGATCTTTTAAACATGCAATGAACACTAGTTTCTGTAAAAGGCAGAGAATTTCTTAAGAAGCTGGAGGTCTGTTGGCTTCCTTAAATGTACTCTGCTACATGGGGCTAGTTCATAATGTTGAACAGAGGTGCAAAATCATGACCTGAAGTAACTCCATTCCAACTCATGAAGAAATTTCATTTAAGATTTGAGGCTTTCACGGCGGTGACTATGAAGAAAGCAGTCTTCTGGGATTTGGCACCGTGTATATGTGGTGTTAACCGACGTTTCGGAGGAACGTATCGCCCCCATCTTCAGGGTTGAAGAAGTATAAGTAAATCTGCAAGCGACAACACCGTGAGACACGGTCAAGCAGACTGATTGACCGTGTCTCACGGTGTTGTCGCTTGCAGATTTACTTATACTTCTTCAACCCTGAAGATGGGGGCGATACGTTCCTCCGAAACGTCGGTTAACACCACATATACACGGTGCCAAATCCCAGAAGACTGCTTTCTTCAAATTTCATTTAAGTCGAAATAGGACAATGTACAGAATATCTTAAAGAATGTACCCATTCAAAACAAGCATTTGTCATTATCACAATAAATCATACACCTTAGCCCAAATTGTCTTTCCCCAGTCCAAAATATTTATATGGGTTAGAATGGATTTATATGAGCATATCTCCAAATTGTCTAGACAAGTTTCAGGGTTACAAATGATACTTCCAGCCTCGAACATTGGAAAATATCTAATTGGACTACCTGGCATCACATCTCAAAACACTGTATCCTTTAGAAGTTTATTTGCTGTTCGAATAGCAGTTAAACTATAGCCTAATCAGGACATCTACTAATTGCATGTTAATAACATATTAGTGACATGGCATTTGCTTTCAAGGCGTGATACTCTTTGTGTGGTACATATGATGCCTCTGTTTGTAGCAAGGCTAGTAGGTTGGGCCGCGCCATAGCTCAAGCGGATAGTCACTGGCTTCTCACCGCGGCAGCCTGGGTCTGGTCAAGTGGGATTTGTGGTGGACAAAGTGGCACTGGGGCAGGTTTTCTCCAAGTACTTCGGTTTCCCCTGCCAATCTTCATGCCACCAATTGCTCTACAATCACCTTGACCTATCATCTGGTGCTGGTACAATAGGCCAGAAGTGGCTGCAATACAAGGGACTTAGTCCCACCCTACTAGCAATAGAAAAAAAAAAGGCTAGTAGGTTAAGACACAGTGCACTCTGTTGTGGAATAATCGCCACATTGTGAATTGTGCTCTTCAGTGCAAAGCAGAACTTGCTACCTATTTCATGTTGGTTTCTTGCTTGGCTTATGCTTTGAACCTGAAAGAGGAGGCGACATGTTCATCCAGAACATTGGTTAACTTTCAGTAGACTATATGACATTATATCCCAGAAGACAAGAAATTTTCATAATCACTGCTCTGAAAACCTCAAATCCTACACAATACTAACTAAAAATATACTACTATGTAATATGATTCAGGGACATTTTTGGTTCCAAATATGTCAATGTACATACAAACAGAATCATTGTCTGAAGCACATATAGCAGAAATACAGAGTTAATAGAAGACTAGACATTAAAAACAGAAATTCCAAGCAGGAATACAATGAACTGCAGTTTGGCACATGCTGGACTTAAAGGTGGTGGGAGAAAGAATCTGACTTTCACTTTCACGGATAAGCGCATATTCAGTACATACCACTGATATGTGAAAAGATACTTTTCAATACCATCTTTCTCAGCATTTTAATAATATAGCGTCCCTGGTCCACCTTTATGTGAGTCAACAGATGTAGAGTTTGTAAATGATACCCTTGTGAAGGCTCTCAGATGATGACTTGTGTAACGGAAACTTGGCAAGGAGCATCTGAACAGTCAGTATAAGGGGCATGATGTCAAATATTGTATGAAAGAACTCTAATTCTTGTAGTATAACATGAGATTATATCTGTATAAATACTTCACACATTTTAATTGTTAATGAGAAAATTGAATCAGGGCTCAGTATCCAGTGGTGCTGCTCTCACAGTGTCCTCCAAATTTACAAGGCAAGTACAGTAGTTTCACTTAATTATATTAACATAGAAGATATTGATTCACAAAGATAAGATGTCATAAGTGGCAGGAGAACTTTAAGTGCCATTTTCAGCAGAAATGAATATTCACTTTTGTTGGTTAGCCAAGTCATACATATCTCTATTCCAAAGAACCAATTAGTGAGTCCTGTCACTTGCCAGTTTAGGTACTACTGTACTTGAATAGTCAATGAGAGTGTTGTCTGAATTATGAAGGCGGTTTAATGACTCCAATAGTTTGGAAAATATTTCTCTTAATTATCAAGTTGGTTAGATGACTGTGGATTCATTTTAATGACTTCAAGCACTTAATTTTCTTCAATTTTTTGACAAATGCGGTTATTTTACTGTGCAAACTAATATATTAGTATTCTCATCTTGGAGAGATGTATTTAACTCAGTGGGTTTGTAAAAAATATGTTAGGTAAGAAAGGTTACATAGACAGTTTTCACTGTGGAACAAGTTAGCTAATGTTGAGCTCTCTTCTGTCAAAAATAATTTCATTTCTTGTTTCAGTTCCACCAGTGTTTGTAACACTCTTCTTCTTGATAGCCATTTAACTTCTGCATGAGGAAGGAATTATCATGGTTGGATCTCATGGCTTTGCAAATTTAGTGCCTAGCTCGTAATGAAGTTCCCTGCAGTAACTGCTGTTGGCAAGACTTTAAGTTCAGAGGCCATTGTTTCCCTATGAATGATGCAATGCATAGAAATTATGTCAGTATCGTTCAAGTTTTTTATTTGGACCAGGAGACCTTTGTTGTCTTAGCATCTGTACACATACCAACAAAATTACTGCACAGCAATTCATTTATGAAGAACTTGTTTAATTTTACAAAAATGTCTTTACCTGCCATTCTTCCTTGCAGTGGCTGACAAAACAATAGGTCTTCATGCATATGATTCTTAAAGCAACAACACACATAACCCCCCCCCAAAAAAACTGTCTAAATTGTAACTGCCAGTTCATTCACCAAGCTGAATAGTAAATCTTGGGATTTCTTTAAATTCCAACGACTGTTTACACATCATCACTAAGTCCCTCATTTGCTTACTGATAGTGGCTGAATTTGAGTTCAACAGTATATTCCTTCCCAGACAATGTTACTGTTAGTTTAATTTCCACATGCAAGGTAAGAGACTTGTGAACTGCGAATGTTCAGCTTTGGTCACAAAATTTGATGCTCTCAGTACCTTCTTAGATTTCTTAATACTGCTGTGTTATTCTATCAACACTTTCTGCTGGTAGAGGCATTTCAATTTCCTGTAAAAAAAAAACTAAATTGGCTTACTTTTAAAATCTGTATGCTTCACAGCCATATGTCTAATTCTTATAAGTTTCATACTATCATTTGGAAATATTTCAGAGCAAATCATAAACTGTGGATGCTGCTCACCATCAGTACTGGAAGAAGTAAATCCAAGTTCAAGGTATGTTTCTTGTTGTTTTCTCCACTTTTCACTGCAGTATTTTCCATCAACGACTGCAACAGTAATAACTCATTCCTCTGTATTGCTTATTGTTGAGTGTAGTGGCAGAAACATTTTCTATGTGCCGCTGACGCTTGTGCTAGGTTCACCATTGTGACCTAGACCTACATGCATTACCAGTAGTTCATGATTAACCCATCTGTCCATGGTTAAGCACTTATTAAGGATTACCAAAAAGAAAGAGGGGTAACAAGAAGGAATCTTGGTCTTGCACCGTTGAACAAACTCGTGGACAATCAGCTGCACAAAAGAAACAATCCACCAATAAAACCTCCCCCAATATTCAGTACACTGTATGTATAAAAGGCCATAGCACACTGGATTGGATGAAATGTTTAGGTTCATAGACAATTTTTGCAGGGTTAGGTTAGTACCATTAGATGCATTCCTAAAGTTTGTGTGTGGTGTTTTAGGATATATCAAACAGGGTAGCAGGTTATGAAGACATGACAACTACTTGATATACAATGTTCCTGTACAATTGAGATTAATGGAAATTCAAAGAGAACTGTCCCATCAAATGTAGACTTTGGGCAAAATTAAAGGTACTACAGTCTTTCAAAGTTAATATTTATTATAGAAAAATGAATATGCTGTTCCTCTTTTCCCGACTTCAAAATTAAACTTCTGCGCCCTCCTGTGGGGTATGCCTCACAATTTAAAAAAACCCTGATCTAAAGTACATTGTTTACATTAAATTTGTCTCATATAAACTCAAAATTTTACACCACCTCCAAGACTGTAATTGTTGAATGATTAGCAATATTTCCCATTGAATTTGTAGGTACATAGGTTATTGTCATCACACCAAAAGCTAAATATAGATTTCTATAGTTGTCACCTTGTTTACATTCTATAAAAAAATTCTGTCCATATCATACTCATCAAAATGGGTAGACTACTTCAGAAATTGAAGTGGGGGACATACATGAACACACACATATAATCACACTGTATTCTGATATAAGTTGACTTTCTTAAGACAGGAAAGTAGGCTAAAAATGTGTGTGGATGCAAGACTGTATGCACACAAAAAAATATTTTATATTTAGCCCATTTATTATACTGATCACAGTCTGGTATAACATGTTTCATAATTCAGTACATTAACCTGTCTGTAAATACATAAATGTATATACACCATGAGCATGATGAGCTAGCCAGCTAGTCATCAAAGTTCACAAAGCATGATATTTCACTTGCTAAACGAATGTGGCAGTTTACCAATTATTTGAATATTTGTATGTTTGCTTATTATTAGACTGTGTCTGTCATTCATATCCTCACATCTTCAAACAAATTCACATCAAATACTGTGTGAATTATGGCAACAAATACAATATTTTATATTACAACACAACCATATGAATGAAAATATGTAATTTTAGCTTTCGGAGTTTAGACACATCACATGTTGAAGCTGTTCCACACCTTCAAGATGTGATATAGGTATGCTCTAAAAGCTGAAGTTACATATTAGATACAGGCTGTGAAAACCTACATGCAAGAATATAAAATAAAGTTTACATAATGTTCAGTATAAAGCACTGAAGAACACACTGCTAGAACTGCTATGCCTCACATATCTGTAGTTACTTAATGGAATCTTCATATTATTTGAGGCTTCGGATCTTTTGTCGTTCCCTGTAAACAGAGGGTTGTCGAACTGCAAAAGACAAAAAGTAATAATTATTAAACTTGTCATAGATGTATTCAGATAAAACCAGCAAAATGAGTAGTCAAATTACCTTTGTAAAGCATGGAAAATACAGAAGTAATGGGGCAGGTGAACTAACAATCAGTTAGGAAAATTGTGGATGCAGGATATGTTTAGTAAGTGTTCTTTCTTATGATATTAAAACTATCCATTAGCTGACAGCTGTGCATACTTACTGTAAGGATCAAATAAAATGAATTCTACTTTGTCAGCAAGTCTTTCTCTAATCCATGTCCTCTTGTGTCCACTTACTGCACTCTCCAGCAGAACCATTATCAACCTTAAGTATAAAGACAACCTTCATTACAAACTGTTCCCATGATCTTAATAACAATGCATTCCTGCCCCTGCAAGTGAAAATAACTTTGATACTGGAGATTCCTATCATAATTTGAGCCTAAAGGTGAAGTTTGGCATTTGGGGGTAAAGTATTCTAACATTCAATGACCTTTTACATGAAACTCACACAGAATCTGCATCATTATATGTGCATCCACAATTTTCAATAACATGCGAGTCTTCTGTTCAGTGAGGGTTTATAAATAATTTTAGTGAAATGTTAGTTTCGTACAACTGTTTAGTTTGGTAGGTACAAGGTGGGCTCATGGGCAGAACGGCCATGGAATGCCCCCAAAACTCAACAAATTGGTAAGATACTACAAATGCAGTCAGTCCATACCAAAGGATAGCAGAAATCCAGAAATCATGTGACCAGGTAATCCCTGTTCCATTAAGTCTTATAGATTAACAGACTAAAAGAATGGATAAGTCTACACTATTAACTAAAACTGCCAAAAGAAAATTTAGCTTCACTGTATAATTACTAAAAGTGTTAAAACCCTAATATTGTATTTATGCATACTGTTGTATTAATATATCTTTTGTATATATATACACTTGCATCTTAAATACAACTTATTATCTAGTCACCCTAGAGGAAATATGTGTGTACTAAAAAAACTAATATACATTCATGTACTGGCACATTTCATAGAACTATGTACTGAAACTCGATACTGCTTTAGCCTCCGATATTTATTTTCCATTCCATGCTTTAACCTCCACTGCTCACAGTCAAGACACACTGATTACAATCTGATCATTCTTGCAAGTAAACAGGGCCAAAATTCGGTTAGCTTTGAAAGAACTGTCACACAATCATAGTAACTCAAACATACTTGCTCTTGGTTTTCTTCAATAATACGTTCGTTAGGAACATGTTTTGGTTCACAATCTACCTGCAAAGAAAAAAGAATTCGTTAGCGAATAATCCATCTAATTTATTCTTCAGGATTTATTGTCAGGTTTAATTGGGTTGTCATGCGTTTATGTTGACACCTAGAATGCTCCGGCAACTAATCTGCTGATAATAACAGTTTGAAAGAAGGTAAACTTGCATTTTGCTTGACCTGAAATTATCAAATATTTAGGTTATGTGGAATTACTGTTGCGAATTTCAGATTTAGTAGAATTAAAATTAGAAATTAGTCAGTGTGTTGATTGTGTACACAATTTAAAACTCAGGCCAGCGACATTCTAAATATGTTTATTAATAACAAAATACGCGTGACCCAATAATACACGCACTTTAACCTTAAACCATTGTAGAACGTTGTACAATGCCAAACAAGCCTACCCGTTCGGCAACAGTGTTGATTTTACAGGAGAATTAGACACAGGAAACTGAATTTGGCGTTGGATTAAAAGGGCTGTACTCGAACGTAATGTGGCTGAAGATTTCTTGGGGGAGGTGTTTAAATTAATGATGGATTTACAACATTTTTATATGCTTGTATTAAACACGACACTCAACATCGTAGTTATTGACGGTTATTAGTTGGCAGCCATGGTAGTCATGTGGGTCATGTGTTCATGTGCGCTCATGTGTCCCCAATAGTACAGCATGTAGTCTGTCGCTATGTCGCTGTACCGACTGAGTTATCAATCCAGTTTAAAATGTACAAATATTTCATTATCTTTAATCAAAGTTAAAAATTAATTCTATTTTTGTTATTGTAGTTTTTTTATTTTATTGCTAGTGGAGTGGGACTAAGTCCCTTGTACTGCGGCCACTTCTGGCCTATTGTACCAGACCCAGATGATATGTGAGGGTGATTGTGGAACATTTGGTGGAATGAAGATTGGCAGGGGAAACCGAAGTACTCTGAGAAAATCTTCCACGTTGACCACCACATACCAGACCCGGGATCGAACCCGGGCCGCCGCGGTGGGAAGCCAGCGACGAACCGCTTGAGCTATGGCGCGGCCATCTTGTAGTTTAATGACACTTAAAATACGATAGATGTGTGGTGTTGAGTATAAATTATTTTATAAGTTGAATAATTTTGGTGTTTCTACAAAATTATTATGAGCCGCATAAGAAATTCCCGAGAGATTGATCATCACTCTTATTGATATCCAAAAATGGCAGTTCGCTCAGTGGTTAATGGTTATGACACTCAAGTTTACCTCAGTGACAGTTGCGAAACAAGTGAGGTAAGGAGTGTTTGTTGTCATAAATTTAAAACAGAACTCAGATCAGTGCAAAAAATTATTGAACTGCTACAAGAAGAGATAAACACGTTCAATCGTACCGTAAGTACAGACTCATGATACTGCTACAGTAAAAAAAAAAGGGGGGGGGGACTGGGTTCCTGTGTTCCTGAATCTCCGCTGGAACATCTCGCCAACCTGACTTAAGTTTTTTCATGGTTTTTCACAGTACCACCAGGCAAATGTTGATTGGACGTAGTATCCATAATCAGGTGACAAGCACCAAGACTTTTGAATACATTATTTATTAATCATCAGTCATTTGATACTATATAGTTTCTGCTAGGAAGTGTGTCTTGAAATCATGAAAGGAAATGTGGTGCAGGAGCAGTTTTGAATGTTATTAATAATCGGACACAACTTTCAGCGCCAGAAGAGATACTGTCCCACATCAAGATTGAGCCCAATGACAGCAAACTGGACCTACAGATAGCCCTCAAGAAAGCACGGAGACTGAAGCTGCAGGAGGCTGTTTACAGAATCAAAAAAACAGTGTAGAAAAGGTACATAACATTGGCATATTTCGTTTTTAATCCTCACAAATGTTTGGCTGTAGTAGGGATCATTTATCTTGTTCAGTCAAGGCCATCTTCCCCTCTCTGCTTTTTCTCCCTGAGACAAGAGAGGAGCAGCTGTATATATAGGTGGTGGGAGGTGATGAAATTGTCCCTAGCTACAGAATCTTGTGCCATCTTTAGTTCCTAAACAGTATCTCCATATGTTCCAGTTACAAAATGTTGCACAGAACTTTGTAGTAAAGTTCATTATGATGTTTCCTCCTTGGTTACTGTACAAAACCATTGTACCCTAGAGAAACTATATTGTAATTTAACCTGAGGGCTATTAAATTGTTTCTCTCACAGTTTGTTGTGGTGGGCCTCAAACCAGTAAATCATATCTTCACATTTAAGTAATATCATTATTCTTTCTTACTGTGCTACAAACTGAAAGGTCATGGGTTCGATTCCCAGTTAGGTAACTGGATTTTCAGATTGACCGAATCCTTCCAGTCACACTATGACCCTGGGGTCAACTCAGCCTCTAACAGAAATGAGTACCATGAATATTCTTTGGGGATAAAGGGCAGCCAGCATGTAAGGCTGACAGCCTCACTGCCATCTGTAAGCTTATTGTTGAGAAAGTATGGGAGTCTCGACGTCTCGCACCCCTATGGGCCTCCATGGCCTGTTACAGGGAGAGCTCTACCTTTTTGTAATACTATAATCCTTTCCTGTATTTTGGTTTGAGACCTGTTATGGCCCCCCTGTCAAATAGGCACCAGGGGCTCTTTCCCCAGGTGTGGGAGTGACATGGAACTGGCCATTCACCTCCATCTAGAGCATAACTAATTAAGCATAGGGACAGCTTTGCATTTATGGGTACTACAAAACAAAATGCTGTATAGCTACATAGTTTAACTGTTTGTGATTTGTGATGTTTGTAGGTGGCAGAGTCAGTACTGGGGAGAAACTCAGAAGGGAACACGGAAGGTGGTTCCATTGTGGTGAATGCTACAGCACAATTCTGCCGTACGTTGTGTGACATCCCATTTGTGGTCTGGCTGGCAACAGGGATGAGGACGCTCAGGAACTGCTTGTGAGTGCAATATAACCATCCGCAGATAAATGTACACTTGGCAAGGCACTTTGATTTAGCATGTGTGAAGACTAGATGCAGTCCATTGCCCATCTACAGTTATTTACTGCAGCTGCAATGGAATTAGAATATATTTTGATTATAGTTGAATTCCATGATAATGGATATATAAATTATTGAACTGGAAACATCCAACAGAAATCCTAGAAATGAAAGCACTCGTTATACAGTAAGAATGTGATAGTTGAGAAGGCAGAACCTTTTTCTTCTTCTTCTTCTTGACAAGTGGTACCTTCTGGAATAAAATGCCGTATAATGTGGTAAGGTCCATAAGCATTTTGAAGGAATGTCAATGGACTTACAAGATGTTACTTCCCAGAAGATAGTGGCTTTCTTAATTTCCTCTACAAGAATCTCAAATCCATTTTTTTTTCCCATCTTTTCTTTCTTTTTTCTCCCTGCCATGTGCATGATGCAAGGGTAGCAAAAATGCTACTAAGAATTATATGTGAAATTAAAATAGGGATGAATAAATAGCTCAGAACATGACTAAATGAAAAACAAATAGTTCCTATAATTTTATTCATTGCAAAGTGAATTGAATGTTAATCATCACAGTATTCTCACTGCAAACTCAGAGTCAGTTTGGCAGGTGTACATTGCTTAGCAGAATGAGAGTATGTTTCTAATAGATCTGTAACTTTAAGCATACTGTGATATTAAAAAGATATTTAGGCAAAGAAATTTCAAGATGGTCAGTACAGTCAGAAGAATTCTGTCTTCTGGGGTATCATCCAAATTTCCGGGGGAACATGTCACCTGAATCTTCAGGATCAAAGAATAAATTAAACAAAAAGCCAGCATGAAGCAGGTAGGAAGCTTGGCTTTGTTACCTGCCAGCGCTGGTTACTTGCTTGATTTATTCTTCAGTCCTGAAGATGGAGGCAACATGTTTCTGCAAAATGTGTGTTGACTTTCGACAGACCACACGGCATTACCTCCCAGATGACAGAAATCTTCAAAGCCACTGCTGTCCAAAGCTCAAATCCTACACAGAGTAGTCAGTACTTTACAGTGCAGCAATTTTTTGTACAGTGGTTGGTGGGTAAGCAGTTCAGATTTCAGTCTGTCTCAAGGTAATTTTGAATTGGTAATTTTGGCCTGTGCATTTGCATTCTGCCAGTCTCATACAGAATTTACGTTACAGGACTTTGAGAGGGAAATGATTGAGGAGAAAAAACCTCAGGAAGAAGAAGGCAAACGTGGAGCTTGGAATGAAGTTGAGATTGGTGAGTCATTAGCAGATTCTTTATGTACAACATAGGCCTATTCAAATTAAGAGATATTGGCACTTCAGTATTGGTTTTAATTGTGTGTTTATATTTCAAGTATTTCATAAATGGTGTACCATATTTAATCATATACTGCAGTTTTGTTAAGGGTTTTAGTAGACACACAGTAATCATTACTGTTTAATATTTGTAGTGGTAGGATAGTTGGTTGAGGCACTATGCTGCAAGTTTGAAGGTCATGGGTTCAAGTCCCGATGAGGTCATTAATTTTTTCAATTGACCTAATCCTTCCAGCTGCACTATACCCCCTGGGGTCAACTCAGCCTCTTAACAGAAATGAGTACCAGGAATTTTTGTGGGGGGTAAAGTGTGGCTGGTGCATAAGGCTGACAACCTCACCGCCATCTGTGAGCCGATTGTCTACAAAATATGGGAGCCTCGACGTCTCACAACCCTATGGATCTCCACGGTCTGTTACAGGGATAACTTTACTCTTTTTTTCTTCTTCTTCTTCTTCTTCTTCTACTCCTCCTCCTCCTCTCTCTCTCTCTCTCTCTCTCTCTCTTTTTTTTTCTGTATAGTGTCTTGGTATGTAATGAATGTCACTCATGAAGAATGCCGTCTTCTGGGATGTGGCACTGTATAGATATTCTGTAAACCGATGTTTTGGAGAAACGTATCACCTCTATCTTCAGGGTATAAAAATCCACAAGCAAGGAACTAGCGTGAAAGGTGGCTGCAGACTAAGTCACCTAAGTTGTCCTGTAGCTGTCAAGTCTTCTCTGCAGCAGACCTTTGGGAAGAGAGTTGTCATGGGCACAGGGATCGGCCACTTGCTTTGATTATGGAGTAGAGTAGGAGATTTTGAAGGATAAAGAATATGTGAGCTTTGAATACTTTTGTCATCTCCTCTATAACTGGATTGCAAGTCTGGTCTAGTCTCTCGGGATTGACCCACTTTAGTGTTAGGGAGGTGTACATGATGGTCAAGACAGGACGAAGTAAGCAAGCGAGAGTGATTTAAGGAATTTAATATACAGCATTGCTTTATCTTTTTCAGAGATGATTAGAAGTTTGGGTATCGTGAGCGCTACAGTGGTCTGACCTCAGACTTCAAAGGAAAGGAGGGCTACAAACCAAACGTTAAACTCGACTACACAGATGATGATGGCCATGTACTTAATGCAAAGGATGCTTTCAGGTTAGCACAGCTAACAGCATATCTGTTTTTAAGATAGGTCACACTGTGGAGGATAGCCTGTCAAATGGTAGTACATTCTTTAGAGCAGAAAAAGTTTCCACAGTAATTGCCATTTTAAAAAAAAATTCCAAGGAGGAAGCAGTTTTTCAGTGGAAACAGACAAGATAATGGGGCTACCGTGTTTATCATCCATGTGTGCCATCCTCACGATAATGTGTGAATGAACTGGTGGATTTATGTAGATCTCTGTAGTGCCATCATGCCACTCACATGTTCTTTTAGTTGTCTACCATCAGCCATATTAACATGGTGACTGAGTTGGGAGCAACACTAGAGCCACTTAAATCAGGTTCTAGGGTAAGCTGTTATACCCATTCAGAAGGTTCTGAGTTTGGTCCCCACTTGCATCTGTGTACAGATTTTTCTGCTCACAGATGATGCCTTCACATCTACCAGAGTTTGAGCTTCAGGAACACAAAGGATACCCCCCCCCCCAATGGGTTAGAGCCCATGTTAAATTGTAGGGT